TAGTATTAGTTACCTCACAAGTTAAAGACAGTTACAAGTACTATGGACGTTTCGACCCAAGGTCTTCGTCAGCACACAACAGTGTGATTACAGATTAGACAAATAAAGACAAACAGTAACACATTTTTTGACTTAGCTCGACAGTGAAAACACGTCTTGTCTGCTAGCCACGATATCCAAAAGAAAAAAACGCGTGAGAAGGACGCTTGGACACCGTATAGGGGTGGGGTTGGGGGCGTGGTGTATGCGGGAGGCAGAGGCGTATCCAGGTTTTCGCTGTAGGGGGAGCGAAAGAGCAAAAACAGGCGCCGAATTTTTAACACGTTCTATATACGTGTATTATATATATATATATATATATATATATATATATATATATATATATATATATATATATATATATATAATTACTAGCTGTATGTCATTACTTCGCTATGATGTAAAATAAATTGAAAGTAGTACTCTGAAGAAATAAGTAAAATCACACAATGTAGGCAGACAAAACAAAAATTGTATCAATCTAAACAAATATATATATATATATATATATATTTATATATATCTAATATATAAAGCTCAGTTCTGTAACGTGTGGCAAAAAAAAAAGTTTGTCGTTGACAGTTCTACGGATTTAAGTGTTAGATTTTTTATCGTGCTCCAAGTCTAAATTTACGAGTCAAAAAATTACCATTGAAAGTCTTTAAAAACAATTTTCATTCTATTTACTTAGAAGAATAATTTTCAATTATGAACGCGACATAAAATTTTTAAAAAGTGTATCGACGTTTATAAAATTTCTAAAATTGTTTCGGAAATGTATTGACTGCACAGTTACTTCCCTTTAATGAAAAATAAATCCTTAAGAAGAGAGAATTAACATTTTATTACTTTGTTTTTGGTGTTAAGAAAAAAAAAATAATTACACAATTAGCGGGGATTGATTAAGTGCAATGTCGTTAGGTATTTTTAACAGTGCCTTTTATTTATTCTATACACTGAACATACTGTTCAATAATTATTTATTTTTTTTTAAATCAATAACATTTAATAAGCCAGGTCCTACAAATCATATACGTTTATTTCTTTCCATTTACGGATAAGCTTGGAGTATTATCATTTTTGTTCACTAAATTGAAACAGGCGCGTCCGCCGGCGCCCCTGCACGATTTGATTTGGCACCCTGGGCTATCATGTGGGCGCTATGCTGCATAATTTTGTTTTAAACAGTGCGATAGACTATGGATAAGAAAGGTTACTATAGTCTTTAAGTGAATCAAATCCGGGCGTCCTCCGGCACCCCGACAGGGTGCTATTTGGCGCCCCGGGCCTTCCGGTGTACGCTATGGTATCTACGTTCGCGTGAGTTCAAAAGACTATAAATAAGTTATGCACTATAGGCGTTTACTAAGTTCAATCAGGCGGTGACGTCATGGTGCGTCCTCTGGCGCCCAGACAGGGTGCTTTTTGGGGTCCCGGGCCTCCCGTGTTCGGTTTCGCGCCTACGTTCATTAAAGTGAGTGCAAAAGACTATGAATAAGTTGGGGTACTATAGTCGTTTATTAAGTTGAAGTAGGCGATTCAGCCCCGTGAGCACTTTGCATTTATATTTGCGTTAGTGTTTTCTTTGTGTTTAGGTTGGGTTTGCGTTAGCGGTTGCGTTTTGATTTGGTTCGTTTTTGTTCTTTCTTTTTTCGTTTTCGTTTGTGTTTTATTTTCATTGGGTTTGTGTTTGTATTTGTGTTTGAGGTTGGTTTTGCGTTTCGATTTGGTTTGTTTTCGTTTGTTTTTCTTTTGTGTTTTTTTTTCTTTGGGTTTGTGGTTGGTTTTGCGTTTGTATTTGGTTTGTTTTCGTTTGCTTTTTCGTTTGTTTTTTTTCTTTGGGTTTGTGTTTGTGTTTGTGGTTGGTTTTGTGTTTGGATTTGGTTTGTTTTCGTTTGCTTTTTTCTTTGTGTTCGTATTGGTGTTTGTGGTTGTGGTTGGTTTGTTGTAAGTTTTTGTTTTTGTTTTCGTTTGTATTTGTAATTGTGTTAGCGTTATGTTTGCGTTTTGTTGTTTTGGTTTTGGTTGGTTGTGGTTTGGGTGGGCAATGCCGGGTTTATGATGATTACTAAACACACAGGTGATGGTCTTTAACAGAAGGGTTTTTCACAGAAGCCAGAGCAGGGCCTGGCCGGGACGGCTAGTATATATATATATATATATATATATATATATATATATATATATATATATATATATATATATATATATATATATATATATATATATATATATAAACACACTACAACTAAAAACAATGAACGTAACACAATCTTTTTTGTAATTATTGTAAAAAAAATTTTTTACATAATAATTCCTGGGAAATTATTTAACAAGTGAAATAGGAGAAATAATCACTCTCTTAATATAAATATGTATATACTATATACCTACACATTTAATTATAAATGTCAAAACAAATAAATAATTACTTTAGAATATAATGAAATTGTTTAACACTATTCGTGTTTACAAAATGTATTTGTTTATAATCAGAATTTAAAATATCGTCATCATAAATGCTAAAGTATTACAGCATAATGAAAGTTTTTTAAAATCAGAGTTGGTATAAAACCACGCTTTTCGATATAATAGAATAACATTCGGAATAACAGCCTACATTTAACTAAATATCTGTCTTTTAGTTGAGATCATATATTTTAATTATGTACTGCTTCTTGTGTTTTTTAAAGATCATTTTTTATTATAGTGATCGGTATGGGTTAGATTACTGTATTGCTCACACACCTTTTTACTGGTAATTGCAAAAACAATATTCATAGAGTTTTACGTTTAAAAAGCTAATTTTCTGGCGGCATGGTACTTTGGTACATCATTACGCGTTTTTCTACATATACTTAACAGATCAGTTTGGGGTGGGTTGGGGGAGGGGGGGGGGTAGTTTTAACTTCATTCACCACTGTCCGTTCACTTTAGGTCAATTATCCAACCCAGTGTATACCTAGGTGTGACATTAATGTCGCTCTACACAATTGTGGTGGAGAGATGTGTGTGTGTGGGGGGGGGGGGGGGAGATAACCAACTCAGAGTGAACATAACGTCAGTTTTTAGATGCATGTTCTAAACATACATATATATTACACAAATATATTACACAAATATATATTACAGAAATAGATTTAAATAAGTAGCAGTGGTATTATGACAATATTTTTTTGTACAGAGGGGTCCATGGGGGAGGGGGGGTTGTAACTGTTTCATATAATTTGTAATCGTAATCATTATTGCCCAAACTGTAAGAATACTAAGTAATAATATTAAGTATTGTAATTTTTTAAAATTAATCACACGATTCAAACTGTAGGCCCCCCTATATAGGCTACAAAGTAATTATGTGTGATTTTTTATGTATAACATTTTCTAATTCAATTATTCGTAAGCAAATACATTATACAGTTGCCTTAACCCTAACACCCATTTTGCCAAGTGGTACTACCGTAGAGGTTTTTTAAACATTGTAATGAATCGTAATGGTTATTTTTAGAATGGCAAACTGATGCAGCTGTTAATACGTGTTGTAAACGTAGACACTACTAGACTAGTACAATAATGCTTAATTGCTGCATGAAAAGAAATCTTGTGATTTACGTAGATGTGCCGACCAAAAATATTTTGTTAACAAATATCATTGTTTAAAACCTTGAGTTTAAAAAGTTTCCAAAAAGGCGCCACTTTGCTGAAAATGGCCAGAGGGGGAGCGGCCGCTCCCCCTGCTCCCCCCTGCGTACGCTACTAGCGGGAGGGGGGGGGGGTTGTTAGGTGAAAGATATCTGCAGAGTTTCTTCCAGGCATCTCTTCGGGGAGGCGAAGCCCCCCCGAAAAAATTTTTACCGCCCCCCCCCCCCCGAACGAAATGAAATTTATATAATTTATATAGAAAATATATACTTTTAACAGTGTCCGCCCCCCCCGAAGAAAGTTTACCGCCCCCCCCCCCCGAAGATTTCAAGTGCCCCCCCCCCCCCGGAGAAAAAAGTCTGGAAGAAACACTGGATATCTGTTCATTCAAGCCTATAAACTTTCTCGAATATTCACTACGGGGAGTGGCAACATATAGATATGATTTTTAATCAATTTTTATTTACTTAAACTTTTACAAAATAGAATAGAATCTCGTAGTAAAAAGAATTGCGAACCAAGTACACCAAACAATATGAATTAATAGTGCGGAAAATTATTAGTACTTTATAAATTAACGTGTGTTTTTGAGAAATCGGAAATAGCGTAAATTACTACTTCCGGTCAACGGTAATTACTCAAAATTTGACAGAAGGCAGAGAATTAGATCTTTTACTTACATGTAAAATTTCATTAAGCTACCTGAAACAGTACTCAAGTTATAGTTTATAGTCTTTTGAACAATTGAAAGTAGAATAAGTTCCACTTCCGGTAACCGGAAATTGCTGAAAAGCTGATTCAGAACTACAAATTTGATTTTATACTTATTTATGAAATTTCATCAACCTAGCTGTAACGGTACTCAAGTTATCGTGTTCACATACTAATTCCATAGTTTTTCCGACTCGATTACGCATAGAACTCTGAAATTTTGATACATCTGCATTTATTATTCGAAGTGTCTATTCACAGCCGGCTGTGAATAGCCGTATTGGGGCTATTCACAGTCGTGACCGTTTTTGATAGATTTAATGTTAAAAATATCAAATTGGGTAAGAAGATGTGTGGTCGAGTGGTCATAGGGTTAGGCTATCATGCCAGAAGGTGAATAGCCGTATTGGGGCTATTCACAGTCGGCTGGGAATAGCCCCAATACGGCTATTCCCAACCGGCTGGGAATAGCCATGGCCAAGTAAAAATGTTAAGAATAAGATTGCTACCAGTCTAGTTATAGATAGAAAGCTCATTTGCCTAGTCGTGTTACACATCAATGCGACACGATTCATGGACGACATATAGGCTACTACTACTAAAGCGAATCCTAGTTTATAATAATTTTTTTTTTAAAAATGCGATTTAATTTTTGACTTAAACTGTGTGTTTGTTATGACTGTGCGAACTAGACAAGTTTTTAGTACAAAAATGGCTGCCTCTTTTCTGGTTCTCTGTCCAAATGGAAGAAGACAAAACGTAAAAGTAAATGCTAACACAAAATTACTTCAGGTAAGTTGTTGTCCTTTTTAATAGGCATTGTGGTAAATTTTACATAAGCCTAATTAATTAATAATTATCACAATCACATTATGATACATTTTAATATTAAAATGCACATAGAAGGGGATCTCATCTGCTATGTCAGACTAGATCTATGTCTAGAAGTCTAGAAGTAGAATAGTACTCTAGAGATCTAGACTCTAGAATCTAGATCTAGATATCTAGATCTAGATCTAGATCTAGAATTCTAGAGTGAAGTTCCTCAGCCGATCACACATACTGTGACATAGCGAACTCCCGACTTTTATCGGGCGCTATTTTGTAACCGTTTAACACAGAAACAAACCCAAAGTACTAGATTCTATATTATATTTTAATTTAGGCATTCCGACCTCCGCTGTTTCGATTCGGTATTCAACATCCGGACTTTTTGATGCAGTCTTTATAAAAACTCGCCCTTTTCCGAAGAATGCAGAATCTCACTGTTGGAATCGAGTTTTTAGAAATATTCGATATAGATATTCTAGTGTATAGTTTTAGTTAGTCTCATATAAATTCAATTTTCTTCAAATTATAAAAAGAATAGCATATAATTGTAGAGCTTTAAAAATGCAATCCAGCAGTACCAATTTTATTAATTTAGCATAATCGGTTGATTAAATATAATTTTTTTAGTGTCGCAAATAAAATATATAGAAACGCGACCAAAAAACGCAGGTAAAAAGTCAAATTCACTTGTTTTAAAGCTAGTAAGCAAGAAAAGACATGATTCTTTCTTACTATTGAAATCAGTTTGCTTATACCTACATTTTTTTACACCAAGGTGAAAGTAAATAGTTTATATAAATTTATAAAATGCCATTTCAACTCGCGTTATGAGACTAGCTATAGTGTAGTCGTATTATATGTTTCAATTAGAAAATTACCGCCATTATGACAATCTTTAAGCCAAAATCGATCGCACGATTCTAATGAGTTTATCTCGCGAACATGTCCCGTACGGTGCTGTCACATTTTAAATAAGTTTACGTATTAAACACATTATAAGTGTCTTGCCATTAGTTTTAAGTGTCCATTAAATAAACAAATATTATTATAATAACGGTTTTATGGCATTTACTACTTCTGCTTACGAGTTATCATACATGTCAAATCCCCAAGCTAGCGCTTCGGCCTTGACAACGCCATGGCGTCGGTTTAGCATCGCATTACCTATTATCGATAAAATATGCGCACTAATGCCAATGGCGTAGTTTTCGAAGTTGGAAAGAATTTAAATTGTCGGTGGCATTGTTAAAACTAGATAAAATACATTGATCAAGTTATCTATTAAAAACGACAGGCAAGAAGCTTAGGCTTACATTAACTAATGTCAAGCATTTCACACATATTTACTTACTTAGATTTAAGGCTAGTACTAATAGCCTTTATAAAGTATAATAGTATATTAAAGGCTTTAATATACTATTATACTTTATACTATAAATAACTTAAATAAGTTATAGGCCTATTTCTTAGTATAACTAATGCTATATACTAGATCTATATGTATCGATTGATAAAGTAAGTCTGGGCCTATTATTGGTTATGATAAGTAAAGAAACTTGGTGATAAACTTATTTAATTATTTGTAATAATTATGCTTATGACATTAGTAAATAATAAACAAAAGGTGCAGCAATTGACATTGGGGGGGGGGTACTAATTAATAAGGCAGTGAATTTAGAATGACATGAAAAAGGCATGATAATTATTATTCATAATAATTTAGGATACAATTTTTACATTTAATAATAAAAAGTAACAAAATCAAATAACAACAAACAATACGGATTTAAATCACTGCATGTTGCCAATATATATATTCATATAAGCAGATAGACAGGGAAGCTGTAACTTCTGATTTGGTACAAATTAACACTTAGCTTAATAAACTTTTACAAGAATTTAAGGTTTTTCTATTGATTAGTAATTTAGTTGTACCAAAATATCAATAGGGCATTATATTTATAAAGGCCCTAGTATATTAATTTAATTTAAAGTAGTTTCCCTTTTGGACCTGTCAATCCATCATCCATAAAGCAGCTGAAGTAGAGTTTATCTGTTTCTTGACCCATGCACATGAAGTGATGGTGTGGTTAGCTCTCTGCCAAGCTATCTTTACTTTTCCTTGGGTCAGGTACTCATCTGAGCTTGGTGGATGCTGCACAGACAGACTCGTCTGAGATCTGAGCTTAAGACTTGCATGTTAGCAGTTGAGTGCTTTACCACACCATCCCTAGTTTTATTTTTCAGCATTCTTCTTATTACATGCTTCAGTATCAATAACCAAAATGTATCCTATCTATTATGGTAACATTCTGGACATATGTCCGTTGCAGTCACTATAATAACTATAAAAGGGTGCAACACCCTTTCATAGGACTTTTTAATTATATGCAGTCATACTTAATATAATTTTTTTCTATATTTCTATTGCCCCCACCCTCTAGCAAAGTTTCAATTTTAATATTAAAAAAAAACATAGACTTTCAGTCTGCATATTGACCTATATAGAACAGCACCCCTCACTTTAATTTGACTTGATTAGTTCTAATTATCCTTCATCAAATTTTGATTTTACTTTCATATTTCTATTGCCCACACTCTCTAGCACTAACGTGCAAAATTTTATAATTATATCTCAAATAGCAGCAGTGGTATGCAAGCCTAAAGCCAATCACACAATTAAATCCGATGTTACAGTGATATATAACAGGTTTAATACATAACTTTAAAAATTCATATAAAAAAAACTATTAGGCCTAGAATGATAAATTTGGTATTTTTATCAATGGGGTATATTATAGGATTAATCTGTGTACATTTTATCATTCTATGGTAATTAGGAAAAATATCCCAACATTCCTAATTTTAATTATATTATTTCTCTGCCAGTCTACTTGGATATATTAGCGAGGCTCACTAACTTGAAAGCGTCCTTGGTTGCTAACCAGAACATGGCTACCTCACCTGGGCCTACGATTGGGCAATTTTTTCTGCTTTGTTCGAGAGACCACCTTAACATTAAGTTTAAAAATAATTATCACGCGAAAAATGGCGTTTTTTTTTTGCGTATTTTAAGCTATCTGAAGATGACAAAGCTATTTTTGGCAGAATTTTTTTTTAAAAATTTGCTTCCGACCATGGAGGTCAAACGGAAACATGGGTATAGTTTGAGTTGTTTAAAAACTTTAAATAAAGGACTGTTAGGTGTCTAAATGGCACTGTAAGGTTGAGTATTATTAGATTGATCGTTTAGTGAAAAAATATTGTAATTATTTTGAATCCATTTTAAGAAATCGGCATCCAAAAAAGGTCACTGAAAGCACGTAATTTTTTATTGTGACGTCATCGCTATTGTTACGGAAGCTGTTATATAATCGTGTTTTCTTTTCGCTTGACACTCTTTTTCAGCTTATTTTGCTAGCGTAATTAGACTAATTAAGCCTAATTATGGATATTTCACCTTGCTTTTGGATTATACTATGACTCTAAAACCACAACGATCTGTTATTTTTTTTATTTTTTTTGTTGTTCCCTGGAATTAGATCTAGTAGTGAGCATTGGTCTTTGTGTGCTTATTTAGTAAAAATATTTAGGCCTAATTATTTGTTTTCAAATTTGTTATAGCTTAATTAATGGCTTAATTCTTATTGATTAGGCTAAATATAATATTATTTGCACTGGTCTTCGTTGATACATAAATTAGGCTTAATAATGTTAATACTATAACGATTTTAGAGGCCTGATAAATTAAATAATTTTAGCGTTGGGTCTAAGTTTACATTACTAATTACCACGTTTTCTTTAACTTGCTTTCGCGTCTTTCCAATCAAATCTTGCGATCGAAATTTCGGGCACTTCCCAGTTAGCTAGCGCGCTGAAATTTTCAGGGAAGCTTTGTTTCCGATGACAATAGAATATTCAATTGTTATTATTACTAAATTGATCCATGTAAACATTCAGGGATGTGACTTTTCCGAATTTTAGCGGAAATCCGATTTTTCCGTTTCAGTTGCGTTTTTCCTCCGCTGATTTAATTTTCGCCGAATTTTTTCGCCGACTTTCAATTTTTGTCGATTTTTTACGAAGTTTTAAAAATTAGGAAAAAAAAACGGAAATGTCTTCTACGGAAAGGGCCGACATGCTCATTCCACTTATTCGTATTTAAATTTAAATCGACAACTACTGTACTTGGGTCAAGCGGACACTCGAATATGCGCATTTCTTTTCGATTGGTCGATTGCGCTAGGTATGACGGTGCTAGATCAAGATTAAATGTAGATTAAGATTCGGAATTTCGGCGGATTTTTCAAAGCACAATTTTTTAGTCCAAATTTTCCGCTGATATTTTTAGTTAACTATTTATCAAAAACACGGGAAAAGGTAATCTAAAATAATGCAGTTATTCAAATGAAACTTACATCTCATCGATATAGCCTAATTTATCTATCGGTATTTTAACCCGACTAAATCTACAGTTTCTCTCTGATTCTATTTTATTTCGCAATATAAAATTAATATGGAAATCCTTGCTAAAATTGACTATGAGGACTAGACTAACAGTAACCCACCCCACCTCGTAGCAACGGTGTCTCTTGTGACCTCACCTTGACCCCAAGTATGTGTTCGGTACTGCTTGTGGGGAAAAAAAAATGACGTCACAATTTCAAATAGCTGTTCTTGCAATAAGTATGCTTCGTAGGCCTACAGATTAAAAAAAATACTAAACTCGTCGTGACTAGGACCGTGTCTTGTTTGTGGACGAAAAAATACGTACAGACTGTTTTTAAATTTTTAATAAGGGGTCTTCCATAAATAACGTCACACTCGTAAGATAGTGTAACGTCATATTTTAGCATTAAAAAAAGTTATGTTAGAAACGACTGCATTTTAGCCGCTTTTACGCGTTTTGGAAAACTGTTGTAAAACATAGAAATTGAATAAAATACCCTATGTTGGTCGACCTCAGTCAATATTTTAGAAAAAAAAAATCGATGTTTAAAAAATAATTCCAATTCAATTCGAGGAGGGGGGGGGCTGAGGTGTGACGTCATTATAGGGGGGGGGGGGGGGTCTGGATTTTGTAGGACAGAGGGGAGGTAAATATAGTCAAAAAAACGTGGATGACCCCTAACAATTTACAGCTATTCCAAAAAAAACATAAATATCGATGATTAACTTTGGTTCACACATCAGACCATTTCTAATCTTAGCTAACCTGGTCCATTTCATTTTTTCCATCACATGAACCTAAAACGTTCATATTATAACTAATCTAGGCTCTTTACAGTTGAAGACAAATATTTTTACCAATCCAATCTGTAAAAGAATATAGGGTATTAGGCCCCTTATTTAAAATTGAAAACAGGAGTACATCTAGAATCTACACTAGATTAGTAGGCCTACAGTTTAAATTAGCTTAATGGTAAAATAAAACTTAATTGCTACTTTTGTTACATTGTAATTTTTTAAAAGTTGTTTATAAGGTAAACATTAAATTGCAATTAGACAAGACTTTCAATGTTATTTTAGAGTAACATAAACTTCTTTTATTTAAAATATTAACTTCATTAAACAATTAATTAGTACAGTAACAGTATGAATCTGCTTAACCGCGATAAAAAGTAGATAAAACATTGAGTTATTATCCGAAGAAAATTTCCTAATTTTTTTTCCTGGTCTGGTCACATCCCTGAAACATTTTATTGATCATTTTAGACCGCTATATAATTGTACAAAAAAACGTGGGGGAAAAGGGACATAACCCAGTAATTGTAATTTGATGAAAACAAGGTTCGGTACTCTCCCTCTTTTTGCTTACTGAGTAGTGTTCACGTGGTGTTTGTGTACAAACAACTGGAACAACTGGTGGCCAGTATGGGGGATACGATATGGTCGAGTGGTGGGGCACACGATTGCTAACCCACTCGACACGGGTTCAAGGCACGTGTTTTTTACGAGTTGTCTTCGTTTACCCAAAAAAAAAGTGAATGCGAAAAGATAAAATCAATAGCAAGATTTTAATGCAAACAAACAGACAAAGACTAAAAAGTAGAAAATAATTATCATTAAAAAAGTTTTTAAAAACCCACGTTTTCTGATTGAACTAAAAAGTAGAAAATAAATGCTATACATCACAATAATGCAAGCGATCACTCTACTATAAGCGATGAAAAACATGGGGCGCCGTGATTTTCTTACAGTTTCTAATACTGTTGACTCTCTACTAGCTCCCTAATAAAAGTCAATAGTATTATCTAATCAATAGTAATATAACTTTTACTTCGGCCGAGTAGCTGACTACGCATGCGGTATGGCTGGCACGTTTTGGGATAGGGATCGAGTACACCATAGAATTTTTAGACCTCACTACATTTAGATGTAAAAAAAAATCTCAGTTGAGTGAGTGTGGTTAATCTACATTTTGAACGTGATGTAAATGTCTAGTGCTATTAATTTTTATATTTTTGAATTCCTCGATTGTTAAGCAACAAAATTGATATATAATATGTCAATATTTGTTACTTTGAAAATTGGCGAAAATTGACCCTAATAGTAGATGCTTGAGGGTTGAATCTGTTTCCTGCCATATATCAATTAAAGAAGTTATTACCAGTGTCCAAAATTAAACACTTCAAAAAATTGAAGTATTATAATCTCAAGTTTAATGTTAGTGTCAGAAATTGGGTTTTAAAAAGTAATTAGAAAAAAAGAATGTTTTTTTTTTTTAATAAAAAAAATTAAATAATGGGGATAAGGAATAAAGATGTAGTAACGTTGGCAAACTGTTATTACAAAATGTTGCTTTTGCTGAAACTTTTGTGAATATTTTAAAAAATTTTGTTCTAGATGTAATAAGATAAGTTGTATCAGGATTCAGCAGAAGATTTTTAAATTATGAAAGCTTCTATCAGATGCATTTTAAAGTTTTTATTTTCAGATATTAGAAGAAGTTTGTCAGAGGCAAGGCTTCATACCACCAGAAGAATACAAACTTGTGTGAGTAAATTAAATAAAATGAAGGCAGGATAGTATGTTGTTAAAATGGTGGGGGCTACTGATAAATACCAAAAATTTTATGCCTTAACCAAATCAAATGCTTTAATAGACATACAGAATTAACTTTTATTATGTGATCTTTACCGTTAATTTCAAAATAATGTTGAAAATGCAACAATAAGCCAATAAAAAAGTTAGGCCTAAATATTTAAATTCATATATTATAATATATATATAAATATATATATATACATATCAGATATTTTTTTTCCCAATTGTTATGGGGCCGGTCTTTTTTATTTTCCTTTAAAAGTATAAAAATCTTTCATGCAAAATATGGGGGAAAATAATAAAATTTAGAAGTCGATACCAAAGAAACTGTTTAGTCGAAAAGTCAAAATTTTGATGTATCCTCATATTTAAAAAAATGTTTTGTGCAATTTAAAATAGTTAACTAAATACATTGTTAAATCCAGTGTAGTTACAGTTGTTTTAACAACAAACACCTCCTCTCTGCGAGGCTATGAGATCAGTATCTTTAACAATAAAATGTGTACTTAAAGATACAGAATTTTTTTGAAAATAATATGTTGGATATATTAAAGGCATATTTGAATTTATAAACTCATCTTTAATCATGCTTCCCGGAAAAGTGTTTATGGCCTTGACAATTATATTTAAAAATCCAGATTTTTTACTTTTTCTCCATCTTATTTAAAACACCTGAAAGTAACTGGCATTGTAATAACTTAATGTATAACTTAATGTATAATTTTTTTATTCCCTTCTTGATTCTTATTACATTTAACCCCCTGTGTTCCTACACATTGTGGAAAGTCTAGAAAATTTAACCCTAACCTAAAGATCTCTAGTTTTGGCACTGGTTTTGATATAGGTCGGGAATTTGAAATGAAGTAAAAATAAAACTGTTCTAGTTCTACATTTTTGTTTACATTTTTGAATATTTTTTTTTGTTTGTTTGTCCGTTTGTATATAGGAGAGAACCTGCACTATGTGTAGAGCTGTACAATACGTAATTAGGAAGAGAACAATTTTCTTTTTTAAACAAACTGTTAAGAACAAATTAATTTAAAGACATTAATTTATTGATATATTCATTAGTAGATTAAGCACATTAATTATAAAATTTCAGAACAATAACTTTACTTATAATTATAGTGACTTATAGTGGCGGCTTCCATTGAAGATTTTGGTGCCCATTCAAAAGTTTACGCGTTATAAAGCTAATTTTCTGTCGGCTAAAGCTTTAACGATACGTCCATTTGCTATTTTTGTTAGGTTCCAACACTATTTACAATTTTCAACATTCTTTTTATATTAGTATACAATAAATTTTTCTAGATCTAGAATCTACAAATCAGCTGTAGAAGGAAGGAAAAGTTATATGTCTAGAATAAAAATAAAATATATCAGTAGTTACGTCCCTGATTCTATGAGCCTAGATAGCTAAGATGTTAGTGTATTAGGTTCCCATGCGGTTGGCAAGGGTTCGAGACACATCATGTCAATGTTAATTTTTTTTTTACAATTTTTTTTTAAGATGTGAATGATAAAGTTGTCTATGGGAACTTGGCGGGATACTGGGCAGGTGAAGTAGAGTTCACCTGTTTCTGTGTCCTCAGCATATGAAGGGATAGTGTGGTCAGAGACATTCTCGGCCGGAATCTTTTTTCAACGATAAAAACATGTCTGAGACATGGAGGGACACTGGGCAGGTGAAGTAGAGTTGGGTAGGTGTAGAGGTCACCTGTGACATCAGCATATGAAGGGATAGTGTGGTCAGGTCCATGCTCAGCCAAAATCTGTGTTTTTAAATGTAAAAACATCTGAGGTGTGTCGTCTTTTTGAATGTGGGATCTGGTTATTTTGTGATGATAAGTGACAGACGTGATGTCATTTATGGATGACCCCCAAAACCCACAGTTATCTAATGATAACAGGTAGTCTAGTATATGTTCATTTATTTTTACAGACATGGAAAACAAGAGCTTGATCTGAGTTTGTCAGTAAGATTTTCAAGTCTTTCAAATAATGCCAAATTGGAGTTAATCAAAGCACATACAGTTAGGGTAGAAAAAGAAGTTACTATAGCATTGCAGGTGAATATCTAAAAGAATTTCCATGTTTTCTAATTCCTACTTAAATCTTTTTAATACATAAGATAAACAGTAAAAAGACTGAAGAGGATAGTTAAAGTAAGTCGTTCCAATGGGTCACTCTGATATGACAATAGATGATGTCCCATAAGATACTTGTGCACTTCTACTTAATTCAAGATTTTAATTTTTGTTGTGTTTATTAACTTAACAAACACTTTAAGTGGTGGATAAAGATAACTTGGGACCTCTGATACACTTTTCATATAGATATCAGATCAAATTCCCCGCGGCAATGGTGCTGCCCTTGGAGGGTGCGATTTTTCTCTATTTATTGTATATAAAAAATAAAAGTCTGATGCGGTTCAACACTTCATCTGAGTGCTATGAAACTTTGAGTAGATGAGAATTGGGCATAATGCACAGCAGGTAAGGGTTACTACTAAATTCAGCTGTGCTTCAGTGTGATCCAAATAACCTTGTGCTCCCCTACACTAGTTTAAAAAAAAGGCTATGCACTTTTGTCATCAATAATCATTGACTATATCGAATCAGGCCCAGCGCTCCAGCAGAGTGCAATTTGTCACCCCAGGCTATCCTGTGAGCTCTATGGTTTATATGTTTATTATAAAGAGTGCAATATGCTGTGGATACGATGTGTTAGTATAGTCGTTCACGAAATCGTAGGGTGCTTTTTGTTGCCCCGGACTTTCCAGTGAGCGCTATGGCGCCTATGTTCATTTTAAAGTTTTCAAAAATATTCTTTCGTTCGGTCACAAAATTTTTTTTGAATTAATTAAAATTTGGACAGAATCAGTAGGCATATTTATCCAACCACACCACATGCGTCATCACGTTCAATAGCTGCGCCATCACGTTCAATGGCTGCGTCATCACGTTCAGTAGGCGCGCAATGGTTTTTAGTCATGTTACTCTATTGTAAATAAAACATGTAAAATACTGAAGAAAAAAATTAATAAAAAACGTTTTAATAACTAACCAATGGTTTTACTAACCCTGCTCTTGATTTACGCTACGACAGAGCTATTTTTAGATAACATAAGGAAATTGCGCTTAAATGTCACTAGACTTTTTAATTAACTTGTTTGAGTGGCAACCCTTTTTATCAAAGCCAAAGGATCCACGACTCCCATACCATTAATATAAGGCAATTTGAATAAGGTAATTAAAAATACCAACACCTTATTTTCTAGTATCATTTGTTTAAAAATTCTGTTTTATAATTAACTTCGTGCGAAGATTGAAATTGCATGCTATTGACTAGCCTCAAATTCACAGTTGAGGTTTTATAAACGCGAACCTCATGTCATTCTTGAATTCATTGAATTAATTTATTTCTTTTGTTTATAAATGGAGAAGTGAAGAAAAAAATCCGCTATCTTAGCATATGCGCATAGGTACATTTATCCTACTGCTGTCAGTCGTTGTGTATTGGGTACATCCAGACGGTCATATAGGTACCAATGGTCACGTTGTCAATTCGAAATTTATGACGTCACACTCTCATGACTCATGCGCATCGTAAATTTTTGACTTAGTGAATTCGGCCTACTTACATTGATTATTATTACTAAATAGATAGTCTGTTTTTACTACAAAAAATATTAATAGCTATATTATTCACTCTTTTATGTATAAAAACAGTAAATTACATATGAGAATACTTAAGAAAGTTATCTTCTGACTAAGGTTTGTTGCGTTTTCATGACATCAGGCAACAAGACATAACATTGCTAATAAATAAGATGCCTCGCCCAGCTGTCATTTCTTCAAGTATGATTATAAATAAGTAAAGGATTTACAATATAGTCTTCGCCTATGTATAAAAGTACACCTTAGAACGTGATGGTCCATGCAGCAGATGGAGTAGAGTTCCCCTGTTTCATTGACCTTGGCATATGGAGAGAGAGCAATGCTGTAATCATGCTGCTGGGTACAATATAATGAATTTAGTTTTGAAATAGCATTGTAAAATATTAGGAGAACATAAAAATAAAAATAGATAGACAACAGGAAGTGAGGTGATGGACCACTATCCTGGATACCACCAAAGATTGGTCTTCACAGTGACCATGACAATAATAACACTGAGCATAGACCTAAGCCTCTTGATAAATACAGTAAAGTTGAAAACTGACAAAAAAACCCTTTGCAGTGCTATTGAGTACCCACATCAGAGGCATTATACTGGCATTCAGTACCAACAGCAGTGCTATTGAGTACCCACATCAGTGGCATTAAACTGGCATTCAGTACCGACAGCAGTGTTATTGAGTACCCACATCTTCAGCACTGAGCACCAATATCAGTGACACTTAGCACCCAAAGATTCAGCACTAAGTACCCACAGCAGTGATACTGAGTATTGAATACCCACAGGAATGTTATCATATACTAACAGAGCCAGTGCTGTGTACTGTATCCACTCTGTGACACCAAGAACCGACTGCAGTAACACTGAGTACCCACAGCTTCAACAGTGAGTACCCACAGCTTCAGCACTTAGTACCCACTGTTTCAGCACTGAGTACCCTTAGCAGTGGCAATATGTAGCTACATCACTGTCATTGGTAATCCATAGCAGTATTATTTGAGTACAACAGCAGTAGCATGTAGTACCAAAAGCAGAAACATTGGGTACCATCAGTAGTAGCAGTGAGTACCTACATCAGTGGCACTGAGTACCCACAGCAGTGAAACTAAGTACCCACAGCAGCTGCATTTAGCATGGAAGAGTATACAATGGCTGAAGGCTGTCATTTAGGACAGTATTTTTTCATGTGTTGTGTGTGTATAGCAAATGAAGGGCTCAGTGGAAAAAGTACTTAAGTTACATTTTTTCAAAAATGAGTTAAGACCAGTATATTATTTGATTACCTACCCTTAACCATCCCTGTAAATTTGGGCCATGGAAAATGTACCGAAGTAGCTTAATTCGAATACTTTGCATCAGCTGTTTTGGTATTTCAATTTCAGCTTCAATTTAAAAACTTTGCACTCATTTTTCTCAAAACTCTCAAAATACACTTAAGTACTTTTTCCACTGAGCCCTTCAAATATAGGTCAAATGAGAAATATGTGTGGTTATTAGTTAACCTTGAATTAGTTGAATAGGAATTCACGAAAAGGGCGTAACCAGGGACAATTAAGGCTATACACATTGAGGAAGTCTGTTTATGTGTAGTGCAGTAGAACCACGACAGCAATTCTTCAAAGTACCCATTCATTAGAGGTATACAGCAGAGTTTTAAATTTTCATATACTTCTATCACACAGCAGGGTTTCTCAAACATGGCAATGTTTCCATTATTTAATTTTCTTCATCAATTTTGCAGCATGGCTATAAATGCCTTGAGTTTATTGTGAAATGGGATATTTGTTTCCTTTCCCTAAAGTTTCAGGTTTAGCCTATTTTGCTGTTCGAATATATCTGCCAGGTATGTTCACTCTCTCCAAAAATCCTCTGTCATTTAAAAGTAAAACAAAAAAGTCAAGTTTCTCTTGCAGGAACAACATGATTTTATCTTTCAATTCAACGTAATGTTTAACGTTTCCTTTCGTTGAGCTCCAAATTGATGTAATTAATGATTTTTATCATAGAATCAAGTACCTCTTGCAAAAGAGTTGAAAGAGTCTTGAGGATAGTTGTGGGGGGATGAAAGGCAGGTTCACCCAATATGTTGCGGGGATTCTTTCTCTATATTTATTTATTTTCACAAATATGAACAAACACTAGCAGTCTCCAAACGTACAGACTTTATCTGTGATGAGGATGAGATCAGACTTATTTCCTTGGATGAAACTCGAAGATAAGCTTTTTACACTCAACATTTAATGATGATATGCTTGATGAATAATTATATAACAATATTTCTTCATACAACATTGAAATTAGAATTCACTACACAGTAACTGTCTGGCTTAGGTCTACCACAGTTCAATGTTAACTTTAACTATTGGCCCTACACAAATGATTCCTACTCTACTCTGGTCTCCATCCTTTCTGTTCTACCATTCAGCCTCGACTGACTTACGTATCTCTCTCGCCGTTACCACCCAGCCTGAGGTCTATATCTTGACTTAACCTTGCATACAACAGGCTATATCATTAAGTGTTTCCTCGCATTTACATATCAGGTCAGTTGGGTGGAACTCCGGTTAACAGCCAGGCAACTGGTTCTACCTCATATCAAGTTATGACCAGCCCCAATTTAGGTGGTGGTGATAATCCACTAGCATTGTCAAGGGACTCAGCTTCAACATCTCCCCTTACGTCTCTGTAATGACCTGTTTAATCTTGTCATGTGCATCTGGTGAATCATGTAGTCGATAAACCTTAATTTAGGAGCTACATCTTTTTTTTTTCTTTCTGAAAAAATGATTTTGGCCCAAGCATAAATGGTGACGGAGTGGTCTTGCGGTAGAGAGCTGGACTACTAACCCGTAAGTCTCGAGTTCAAATCCGGGTCAAGTCTCTAGACCGTCCCTGAGTCCACCCAACTCTAATGGGTACCTAACTCATGTTAGGGAAAGTAAAAGGCGGCTGGGCATAGTGCTGACCACACTATCTCTTCATATGCCGAGGTTACAGAAACAAGTGAACTCTACTTCACTTGCCCTATAGACCGTCAGGTTTGAAAAGGGAACTAAAAAACTAAAATAAATGGTGCACTATTTACAAAAATTTTAATTTTACATTTTCAAAAAATCTTTGTACTATCTTCTTATTTACAGTCATTTACAGTGGATTCAAAGTGACTACAAAATAGGAACCTTCTTTGTTATAATCTTTGTTGGAACTGAGATTATCAGAACTTTATCTGTTTTCATCAAATTGAAAAGCAATCAATTGTGAAAGCTTGATTTAATTCCAAATCAATTCATTAGAATCCCCAAAAATTAATAACACCATCTTCATTATGTTGGATTTTATAAGTTTTTCTCCAGTTGTGTAAGGATTTTAAATGAACTGGGACAACACCATATATAGCTTACATTCTTTTTAGATATATGAAATTATTTCACTTCAAGACACCACTAAGAAATATAAAAACAAGTTAATAAAAAGTCTAGTGACAATTTAAGCGCAATTTCCTTATGTTATCCATAACAATTTTAAATCGAGATAAATCATATATTCAGCAAATAAATAATGCAACACAAGTAGTTTTAATAAAAAAAATTTATGTGACCGAAAGGATATTTTTGAAAACTTTCTTCGGCAATATTGGTCTAAATTATGGCAGGAATCGATTGGTAAATGTTTCAAGTCGCTAAGTGGTCTGGTTGCCGAGATATGGGCCAAAAACTGCATTTTTTCAAGGTTTTTTTGCTTTTCCGGGAAATCCAGGAAGGAATTCCGGGAATTCTTTTGGCCCACAATCATCCTCTGAACTTGCTTAACGTATTTGCTTTTGGAACAAGTCCTCGATATTGCTTCGTTGAGGAGGAGATACGACTTAAAGCTGCGGACACACATCCATCCATCCAGAAATAACGAATTAATAATCGCCATTGTCAGTATGGAAATTGCGCTAAAAATAGCCTTTTAGTGAATGTTTTGTTTCTTTAGTCTACAAACTGGTGATCCCAAGAAAACTTAATTTGATTCTCATGGTGGATGCGACCCAGTGAATCTGTGGATTAGGTTGTAGGTTTATTTGATTTTGATTAGGTTTTGGTATATTTTTAGATTCAAGTTTTAGTGTAGTTATTGTTTAAGGTTTTTAATGGAAGATTATAATTCATTTCAAAATTAACTTTAAATTCATTCTAGGTAAGACTACAGCTTACAGTTTAAGCTCTTACAAATATACTAACCATCAGAGACAAACCATTAAACAAAAACCCCTTATTAATAATTTTCCTCTCCTATACAAAAATAAAATATCAAAGTAGTATCTTGTAAGAGTATATAGCTTTTATTTAGTTCATAACATTTTTTTTTTTTGCGGGTTTGTGGCAAATCTTGTAACTCTATTTTGTCACACTTCCAATGCAGCTATTTTGTTTAAACCTTCCAAATATGTTCCACTTCGATGACAATAAAAGTCTATCAGTTTTTAATTTAATTAAATGTTATTAATTAGTCATTAAAAATTAATTAAACGGTCAATAACCAAATTAAATCACTCAATAGATTAATTTATTCAATAACACAAGGGGAGATAAATAGCTAGACTTGATCACCCTAACAGTCTGGTGAGCTGTGGTTCATGAGAATGTTAACAATCATAGAACCGGAAGATCTAGTGAAGGCTATTAGGGGCAGATAATATAGTTTTTTAAATGATTTGAAATTAGGGGGAGGTAACAAGATCTACTTAATCTGGTTGCTGTAAACTGTTTTCACTGGGGGGAGGGGGGGAGGAGGATAATCATCTTCCACAAGCTACTGATAGTTTTGTAAAGCAAATATTTTTATTTGCCACATTGGAAGGTATAGATTTGAATTACTAAAAAGTAGAAAATAAAACAATTTTCTTTCTTTCATAAAAAACTTTGGTTGCTAAAATTTGTAACCAAAGCTTTTATGAAAGAAAGCAAATTAGTTTTTTTTTGGTGCATTTAAAAGCTTGATACTAGAAAGGTATTTTTAAATTTGTTTTAATACACTGTAAAAGCAAACAATTGCAAAGTGTAACACTAGTGTAAATAAAAAAAAAACAATGGAAACTGCCTTTATCTTAAAGAAATGTTGATTTATTTTACGATTATATGCTTTTGTGAGACATGCATTTTTAAACTATTATTACATCATTAATCTTTGTATATTTTTTAAAGCTGAGTTCAGGTGAAAGGCTGCAAGGTTCATTCAAGCCAAATGTTACAATATGGGATATGTTAAAGCAGCTTGAAACCAAATTTGGGTAACTATTTAGCAGACATGTATGTCAGACATAATTATTTTAACCTAATTCAATTTTCCCAACACTTAAAACAAGAAGAATAAGCATTTCAATGCTGGTAGATTTTTATAAAAAATATATTTTAAGAACTTGAATCGACTAACTTCGTCTTAATGCAAAATAAAAACTGCAATATTTTTAAATTAAAACTTACAAAATTAATATGTTAATTATGTAGTAAGAACAACTAAAGTACATTATATAAAATTCAATTTATTTTGTTTTTAGAGCTTCTAAATAAAGGATGCACTTTCAGCTTTTTCAGTAAAAGTATAGGGAATTTGTTACATCGAGAGTTCAATTTTAAAAAAATATTTTCTGTTTCAATATCATTAATAGCTTAATTAATTTCTGCTTAATAGAGCTGTATGTTTTACTTTAGATTCTTTTATATCAATGGTTTATATCATACATTCCTTTAAAAAACCATGTGTTCTAAAATATATTTTATCAATACACCAGATTTTTATAAAACTGTTTCAGTGATTATAAAGATATCCTGACTCAAATAGACAACAGTAAAGTGCCTGCCCTTCATCCTGTTTGCATTTTTATGAGAGAAGAGGTAAAATATAAAATCTAAGCTTTAATAAATTAAATCAATAAAAAAATAAATGCACTGAATTAAATTTTAAAACCATACACAGTAGGCTGGTGTATGGAGGGGAAGTGTGAAGACGAGTTTATAGCAATTTTGTTTTCTAACTTATATAAATATTTTTAATACATATTTATATATTTTTTATATATTTTATGTATATATATATATATATATATATATAGAGAGAGAGAGAGAGAGAGATTTAGGTCATATATTTAAATATATAAAATATATACAGTGGTACCTCAACATTTGAGTACCCTGGCATACATAATTTTTGTAATAAAGCTGTCAAGCGAGTGAAAACTTGCTTTGACATACGAACAAAAATTGAGATACAAGTAACTGGGTTTAACAGTTTGTGGAAATAGACACCCCAAAAGCTCATTTCTAAAACATTCTAAAAATAGAGGAAATAAACGAAGCTCATCGGACAGGTTAATTTCAATCACCTGCATGGAAAAGTGGGGACGAAGAAAGCAAAGACAGGTGAAAAGGAAATTAGGTTAAAAACTAAGCCTAAGTACCAAAACATTAATAGTAACAATTAGGTTCATTTGTGTTCAATGAAGTTTAAAGTCTGTTAATTAAGTTTAGGGATAAAGTTTAGCCTACACCACAACCAGCATTTTCTGTAGGCTCAATTCGGCTGATTTTCAAATTAGTTTATTTCTTTTCTTTATACTTTTTACTTTCTTGTATACGAAGTATAGAGAAAGTATTGTAATCGTCCAAAAAAAATCGAGATTTTTGCAAATCTCAACGTTTTACAACTCCCTGAGTCGGAAAAACATAGTTTTGCAGTCTTGTCTGTGTGTGTGTGTGTGTATGTAAACATGATAACTTGAGTACCGTTACAGCTAGGTTAATGAAATTTCATATACAAGTATTATATCACATTTGTAGATCTGTATAAACTTTTCAGCAATTTCCGATAACCGGAAGTGGAACTTTTTCTACTTTCAATTTTTCAAAAGTCTATAACTTGAGTACTATTTCAGATAGATAAATTAAATTTCACACGTGTAAAAGATCTAATTCTCTGCCTTCCATCAAATTTTGAGTAATTTCAGTTGACCAGAAGTAGTAATTTACGCTATTTCCGATTTCTCAAAAAACTCATGTGAATTTATAAAGCAATAATAATATTCCACACTATTATACACATTTTGTTTGGCGTTCCCTTGGTGTGCAATTCTTTTTTCTACAAGATTCTATTCTATTTTAAAAAGTTTAAGTAATTAAAAATGGATTAAAAACCATTTCTATATCCCTAGTTGCCATCTCCTGTTCGAGAAAGTTTAGGGGAGATCACTCCCGGTTTATTTAGTTACTAAGCGATATTTGTCATGTCACAATACACTTTTCTTATATAAAAATCAACAAAATGTATTTTAAAAGAAAGAAAAACTTTGAAGGCGATTTGGGGGCTGGATCCATATATATGTATCTATAGTTGCGTGCCAATCTCAAGAAAGTCTGACAAAATATATAAGAAGCGTTTAATCAATGCGTTACCAATCCTGTATTCTTAGACGTGTGACCTGTTTTTCTAAAACTGAGTTTAATTAAAATGAAAGCAATGGCGTAGATCATATTTATCGGGACACGGGTTTACCCACTGCATGAAAGCCTTGAGTGTACTTTAATCATTCACCGTAATAGTGAGGTAGAACACAATTCGGTGACCACCTAGGTGTCAGGGTCGTAGAGGGAGGCTCGCGAGAGCCCCGGGTTACAATACCGCAGGAATGCAGTGTACGGTCCCTTGCTGTTTAAAACTAACATAAGCGCCCTGGTGCTCACAGGATAACCCAGAGCGCCAAATGGCATCCTGAAACAATGATGCTGATTGCGTCATTCAATGAACTGGATTTTTTCTTTAATGCGTGGAAAAGAAATTATTTATATATATATATATATATATATATATATATATATATATATATATATATATATATATATATATATATATATATATATATGGGAACAGAATCCCCCTCCCAAAGTAATTACCCCCCCCCCCCCCCCCAAACTAAATTTATATTCAACAATAGATTGATAGATAGATAGATAGATAGATAGATAGATAGATAGATAGATAGATAGATAGATAGATAGATAGATAGATAGATAGATAGATAGATAGATAGATAGATAGATAGATAGATAGATAGATAGATAGATAGATAGATAGATAGATAGATAGATAGATAGATAGATAGATAGATAGATAGATAGATAGATAGATAGATAGATAGATAGATAGATAGATAGATAGATAGATAGATAGATAGATAGATAGATAGATAGATAGATAGATAGATAGATAGATAGATAGATAGATAGATAGATAGATAGATAGATAGATAGATAGATAGATAGATAGATAGATAGATAGATAGATAGATAGATAGATAGATAGATAGATAGATAGATAGATAGATAGATAGATAGATAGATAGATAGATAGATAGATAGATAGATAGATAGATAGATAGATAGATAGATAGATAGATAGATAGATAGATAGATAGATAGATAGATAGATAGATAGATAGATAGATAGATAGATAGATAGATAGATAGATAGATAGATAGATAGATAGATAGATAGATAGATAGATAGATAGATAGATAGATAGATAGATAGATAGATAGATAGATAGATAGATAGATAGATAGATAGATAGATAGATAGATAGATAGATAGATAGATAGATAGATAGATAGATAGATAGATAGATAGATAGATAGATAGATAGATAGATAGATAGATAGATAGATAGATAGATAGATAGATAGATAGATAGATAGATAGATAGATAGATAGATAGATAGATAGATAGATAGATAGATAGATAGATAGATAGATAGATAGATAGACAGACATACATACATACATACATACATACATGCTTGCACACACATAAAAATACACATACAATACAGTGAATCTCAATTTTTATTTTTACTTCATTCTATATATTTTTATAGATGAAATAAACCAAATATATTTACTTTTGCAGATTATTGGTAGTTTCGCTCTGCAAGCAGTTACATTAAAAAAACTTGGATTGACAGCAGGAAAAGCAATTATAAGGTTTATTGTATTTATATACTAATTTGACTACTCTGTTTATGTATCTGCCCATATCTTATTCCTACATACAGGATCCATAACCTATGTTCCCTCTAAGCTGCGTGGTTGCGCTGCCACGCAGTAATTTTCAACTGCCGTGCAGTCATTTTAAAATACATATATCATTGTATAAAACTTTTAGAACACCATGCACTCAAAATACACATTGCACACAACTTTTATTCCCCTTAGAGGGAACGTTGCCTATAACCCCCTTCTTTTTCACATCCCTAAACTCAGAATCAAATCCCTTTCCCCTCTTCTCATCCTCCTAAGAGGATACCTTCTGTAGATGAAAAATAAAACAAAAATGGTATGGCTCCATAATCTAATAGATCATTGGATGATTGTGCATTGGAAATCCAAGCACAAATCCTGGGCACTAAGGTGAGATGAGCTAGATGTTGCCCATGTATCATCTTTCCACCCAGATCATGGACCCAACAGAAAGTACGTAACCTGTACAACTTGGAATCGGCTGTATCGCAGGAGCTGCCCAAAGGAAACCAGAATTGGTAATCATATTGCCTAAGGGGCTCCACTCCTGTTTGGTTTTGGAGTTTCTCTCCTAGATGGGTTGCTTTCCCCAGGTGTATAGACTTTTGGGTTAGCAACCATATGCTTACCCACCCGATCAATCTGATGCAACACAGCAAAAAAAAAATCATTTAACTAAAACAATGATTTTTAATAAATGTCTATTAATACTCAAAGCAGTTTGAAAAACGTTGAAATGAGTTTCAGCGTATATACTAAAACTTTTTTCAACTGCTCAAATCTTTGGTATAAATTAATATAGATTTATAGCTGATAAAATGTTTTATATTTAAGGCTCCTTCATAGACCAGTTGAAGAAACCACTTTACTTGAAATAAAAGACAATATTGAAAAGGAGAGACTGAAGCAAGCTAAATTAGAAGAAATTGCAATGAAAAAGAATGAAATTCAACTAAAGGATGAAATAGAAAAACTTAGAAAAACTCATGGTTTTGCAGAAGAATTAATGGAAACTGAAGAGACTAAAGAATCAGTCAATTCTGCTGTTACAATGTGGGCAGAAACAGAGGGCAACACAGTGAATGCTACTGAAGGTAAAAATTATTTCATTTCTTTTTATCAAGATTATTTTTAGGAAAGCATTAACATTTAAATTTACTACAGAGAATAGTTGTGTATCTAGTTTTAAATTCTAAAAAACAGTAATATAGGGATCTATTGTATAGAAAATGACAGTAAACGCTAATTGGCCATCATCCATGTTCATTCCTTACTTCATTGTAATTAATTTTCCAAAGTGGTTATGCCCAATTCATGTAAGTTTATTTATCTATAACTGTAATTAATATTGTATAAAAAGTATTTAAAAGTAATATAGTTTTACAAAACATTTACTGACAGAGCACCAAGAAGAAAGCCATGTTGATGATAACACTAAAGAAGAGGATATTACCAATGATAACAGTGATGTGAGTATACAAGGAGATGCAGTAAGACCAAAGAATCTATATTCTACTAAAATTTAAGCTGCTTACATGTTTGTATTTTTTTTTTCTTGTCTGTTTGGTTACATGAGAGCATCTACACTATGTGTAGAACTGTAAAATATGTATTTTTGTAGAGAATAATCTTTTTTACCGAACTGTTAATACAAATTTATTAAGACGTTAATTAATTTATTGATTTATTAATTGATAGAAACACTAGTCAGTTGTGTGTCTAGAGCTCCGGTAAACCCCTGAGACTGACCCACTGAACCCCTAAGGTTTGATTGAATCAAGGTTTAGATAAGAAAAAATGAATGGAAGACCAGAAATGAGTTTGAACCTAACTTTGTATGGTTTGTTGTCTCATGATGGATAAACTTTGCAATGAAATGGGTTAAATGGTTTAATTCAAAATTTAATCTATAATAATAGTTTCGCTGTCTGTCACTCTGTTGGGATCGCTTTTACTTTTATTATAGAGAAAACACAAGCAAAGTTAAAACATTCACAGTAATACGGTAAACAAAACGTGACGTCACATGGAACATATAGTTGGAAATAGTCTAAAGTCGGGAAAGTACACACAATAAGATGACTTCATTGATTCTCGAGTAAACAATGAATTAAAAAGCCAGTGCAGAAAAAATACACAATAGTATTGACGTCATCGATACTCTATAATAAAAACACTGGCATTACCGCCTAATTCATTTGTCTAATCTTTAAAGTGGTTTGCGTGCAGAGTTTCCTTCATGCTACCACCCGCCCCGCTCAAAATATATACTGGCGTCCGCACTGCATCTCATTTAATAATTGATTATGTCTTGACCTATGATAGGCCTAGTTCATGTGAAGTCATAGGGACCCCTTGCTTTGGAAAAGTAAATGTGATACTAGCAATTGTTAGTAGCAAACTATGACTATTCTAAATGCTAAAAGATGGATGTACTTACCATTAGAATGATATGATTATTTTTGGATCAAATCTATCTATATATAATCTATAATTCTCTTCTTGGAGACGATAGAAAACACCAAGCTGTAAGCGCGCTCCCTACCCCTACATGGTCTGGTGAGCTGTGGTTCACGCTAAATGTTTACAATCCTAGAGCTACTGATAGTGTTTTAAAGCAAATATTTTCAATGGCAGCATTGGTACTGTCGAATTCACAAATTATGGATTACTGAAAAGTAGAAAATAAAACAACTAAATAGCGGCGTAAGATACGCCGCGGGTCGGCTCGTGTTTTATATTTTAATTGCTAAAGTCTTATTTCAGCTTTCTGATCAGATTCCAGCATTTTCCATCCCATTAACTAAGTTAAATTTCAATGAAGTTAGGTAGTGTAGGCTTATTGTTAAAGACTTCATGAAACAACAATGTTGATTCTTTAGAGAATAAGACATGGTTTAGGTGTTTTGAAGGAGTATGGCAAAGAGGGGTGTGATAAGTCACTTGAAAAAGTGATTGCTTGGATTTAGTAGAGTAGTTCTAAATTAATTTTGCATAATTTTATTAAGTTAATCAACATGCTTCTCACACTTTCAATTTTCATTTAATTGAAAACAGTTAAAATTAGTTTAATATTGCGTAAAAACAGAGGCGTAGTGAGGGCGGGGCGGGGGCTGCGGAACGCACCCGGTAACACCATTTGGGGGGGGTGACACCAAGGCAAAAAAGCATACACATACATGTACGTGTATGCGGCATATATTTAAATTATAGACCTATGTAGACCGACACAAACACACACACACACACACATATATATATATATATATATATATATATATATATACACACCTTGTTTCTTGTTTGGAGGGGGGAAACACCAAGAATTGCCGCACTGGGTGACACCTGACCTAGTGACACCACTGCGTAAAAATATTTTCATATATTTTTTTTAAAGTTGTTAAATTAAAAAAAGGTTTGTAAAGGTAAAGTTGCAACCAAAAAGTGACTAAAATTCCTATTTGGAGTAACAGTAGCTTCTTTTATTTAAGATATTAACTATTTAAGCCATTTAGTAGTACAAGAATAGGGTGTGAGTACATTGTTGAAAACAATAGCTGCAAAAAATGTAGTGAATCTAGTTCAAAAACATTTTTCATGGCCTAGTCACATTCCTGATAAATTATTTTTAATTGAAACCTGCTATTCCAGTTAATAACTTTAGTTATCAGTTATAAACAAAAATATCATGAAGTAATTTATATTTCAGAAGGCCCATCACTCAACATCTCAAGTCACACCACAATCTCAGCTACTCTCCACCAGCTCTTCTCTAGATTTAGCTCCTGCTGCAGAACAGAGCACATCATTATTTTCTCATTTCAAGGTATATCATTAATCATTTTTCCTTATAGCCATACTAGGCTTAAAGCATAGCTTTTTATAGGCTTTCAAGAAAGGTATATTAGCCCTAAATACAACCAGAGCATTTACATTTGTAGCACATACCATAGTGTTACCATCCTAGGGGTATTAATCATAATCAGATTTGGTTGCTTGCAAGAGATTTTTTACCAGTATTTCCCTTGTCATGTGACCTCTGGGTAGTTTCTGACTTTCACGACAGCAGTACAAGCTGAGGTGACATGTAATTAATACCCAGTGTGTGGACATGCTTGTAGTGTAGTCAGGGAATGAGAGATCAATGTTATTTGATATTGGCTTGTAAATGAAAATTTGTAGATAAAGCCAATGCTTGGCAGGTGGGATATTTTGTTTGAAACAACAATTTTGCCTAAAAACACCAAACTTTAAAAAGATTTTTGTTATATATTGCTCATGTGACATATTGAAACAGTACAATGTCAAATAGACAGTTGTTTGTTGAAGCCACACACAGTACAAAGTGGTATAAAACAGCATGTCACATTTAGATCAGTGGTTCATAACCTTTTTGAAGTTACTGAATCCCACCCATTTGCTTGAAGGAAAAAAAAAGGTTTTTAAAAAATAAAAAAAAAACAGGTAGGTATATATTTTATTGGTTACAAATTGTCCTGCACATCAACATCACTGTATTTAAAGAACATAATTTTTTTACATAAAATCATAATAATCAGTATTTACTGATCTCTGCTGTTGCCTTTCAGACACCAGTTTAGAAATGTGCTGCTTTACCTTGAATTCATTTAGCCTTGTGCTCTTATATTTTCCATCTCTGTGTGCCAGTTAGAACACTGACTCCCAAGTTTGTACATATTTGTCCGACCATTTCACTGTTTTTTTGCTTGAAATTAACCCTTTGAGCCCTGGCCTCCCTGGCCTAGTTTCTTCCATTTCCTGAGCTCCCAGGGCCAAACCAATTTTCACTTATATGCTTCTAACTTTGCCTATAACTTTTGAACCGTTTGAGATAATCAAGCCAAATTTGGTATCCAGACTCAGGATCAAACCCCAAAGCAGAAAGATTCTGAAATTCTTTATATGTTTGCAATGTATGAACAGAACAATGTATATAAATCGAACACACAATTATTGTTTTGATAGAACATAGAAGAAACAAATTTACATTTAGTAATTGTTTTGTTATTATTGATACCTGGCCATACTAGTTCATCGCCAGAAGTCCACTTTTGTGTAATAACTTTCAAAACAGTTATCACTGCCGGACCCGATGCAAAGAAAAACTTAGCATGTTTTGCGCCAGTAAACAGTTTTTTTTTCGTTTCGGCAAGTCTTTGTCCTTGGCACCACGTGCATCATAACGTACTTGAACAGTTTCATTGTCACTGTCAATTTCAATGTCACTGAGTTCAGTCTCAAATTCAACGTCACTATCATCATAATATAGACCAGGAATATTATCTTCTTCATAAGAATCAATAAGTAGTTGTATTGCCTGAGATGCAGTCATTCTACTTCTTTTTTTGATATTTCGGTCTTTTGCTTCATCTTTTGCACCAACTTTATGTGCTGAAGTCGATGGCCATGGCTCAACTTTTCGTTTCGGCGGCATTGCTACGAAATGTAAACACTTTCACTTTTCTTAAAATCTATTTTTAGAATCATAATCACGCACTAAAAAGACATTTGCGCAGTTTTAGTCAGTCTTCCGCTAATTATATTTAATTAGACGGTATATCGGCCGCTAGGAATATGACGCTAGATCATAGGGCCGGAAAACCGGCTTTTCGGACATATATGCCTAATGTTGAAGCCGGTTTACCGGCCTGGCGGGCTCAAAGGGTTAAGATATAAATCACACCATCAAAACAGTCACAAATTAACTACTGAGCTACAATATAGAATTAAAAAGTATGAACATCACAGCACAAATGTACATATGGCTCCTTTTATTACTCTACCACTAGTTCTATCGTCCCTACTTACAAAATCCTATTGCAAATCATATGATCTTGACCTCAGCCGAACCCCTGAAACTGACTCACCATTGAACCCACATTAAGAACCACTGTTTTAGATTCATACTTTTTTAAAAGTCTAATTTTTATTGAAAGGGAGAAATCAGAATTCCTCACCAAATGAGCATGTAGAACTTCAGTAAGATTCGAACAAAAGTATTTATGTCAAAATAGTAGGCTCTCCCAGTTAATAGAAAGAAGCATTTATAATTTTTTTCAATACCAAAGTTCTTGTACATTTTCATTTGTTTTAATACTTTGCATAGGTTTTCGATAAAATTATGCTTAAAATATTACCCTGTAGATAACCCCAATACTAACACTAACCAATACTAATCTTTACACAATTGCTAATAAACTTTTAAATAAAAAATCAATATTTTCTAATTGACAAAAGATCGCTCCTTCTTTTTCAGTTACATTAAACCAGTTAAATAAATCTAATATGGCATAGTTGTGGGTAGAAAGTCCTAAGTTCTGAACATGGACTCAAGTCTGTAGGACATCTCTGATCATTATATAACTTACGATAGGGAAAGCAGTGATGGCTGAACATAGAACTTATTATATTATAACTCCCATATGTCGAGGTCACAGAAACAAACTCTACATCCATCTCCAGAACTTAACTAAAGCACAGTAAAAGGTTTATCTGAAAAAAAAAATATCTTTATTCTGGACAAGGCGGGATATTTTGTGACTTATCATGTAACTGAACTAATTGGTCTGTAAACTTATACTTTATATATAACAGCTCTTGAAAGTTATTTTTAATTAATCATTCTAAAAGATTTGAAAAAAATTAGTAAATATTGATTTAAGGCAGGCCTACTAAATTGTTGCAAGCCACATGTAAAATTAAGATGCATGCTTTTCATATGAGAGATATTGGAAATTTGTGCACCAATTTAATGTGGTAAACATAAAAAGAACTGCAAAAAATGTGTCTAACTAATTATTTTAATACATTTCTATGATATAAAAATGATGATTAATTTATCTTGTATTGTAATTACTTCACTAAGAAATATTAAGAAACATTCCATTTGCTCAACTTAAAATAGTGTAAAATCCTTTAAAAAGTTAACTATTTTAGGTAGTTGCATCCCCTGCAAACAGCCAGTTGTCTAAACTGCCATTCTTAGATATTCTAGAGCGAGTGACTGTTACAGCCATAGTTTGGTCTACAACTACATAAAGTTTCAGGGGAATTAGTCCAAGACATTCTTAAAAAGTGTTATCTTTTATAAGGAGGTGGTCACACTCCATCAAATATCAATTCTAGGCGATGTCATAGTGGCTGACCCCATTTTTCCCATATTGTTGAGTGAATTACTAAGATCCATGCAAAAGATAAGCCCGTATATTACTTAATTAATCCTCGTCACTCCCTGTGGAGTATAGGGCAGCAACAAATCTCTGCCATTCCACTCTGTCTTGGGAGAGCCACTTTCATGCCATGTCTTGCCAGTAGCCTGCACTTCTCCTTCCATCTCCCTCCTCCATTTCCCAGTGGTCTTCCTCTCTTTCGTTTTCTAGACGGAGTCCACTTCAGCGCCGTGTTGGGGAGTTTTCTTCTGAAGCCCATATATAGAGTAGACTTTTCGCTATATTTATATTACTAAATATTGCCTCTGGTCAACTTTAACTCCCTTTAACAATTTTTTTCTAGAAGGAACACAATTTCTTTGACATCCCTGGGCTCTTGTCCATAACCTCACAAAGATTTATGGGGTGTTGTGATTATCATTTTTTAAAAATGTATTGATTTATTTATAGAGGTGATTTCTTGCTGTCAGTTTTCAACTCTCAGCAAGGTCATTATGGTTGACCCTTACTTTCCTAGTTGGCCGAGTAAATTACTGAGGTCAAAGCAAAAGCTAAGCCCCATGTGTAGAGTAGAAATACCCTAAATGATGTTTTGGTAATTCACCTCATTTTTTCACAAAATTTTGCTATATTTAGATAAAGAAAATCAGCTGTTGGTCAGCTTTGATTCCTTTTTGCTAAATTTTCTGGAAGGGACACTATTTTTGGGCACCCTTAGACTTTTGTCTACAATCTCATAATGCTTTATCATTAGTTCACAATAAAAAACCTCTTTTGTTACTCCAAGAGTATTGGTTAGTTGTCATCTGTTTCAAATGTCATATATACTATGTTCATTCTTTCTAACCCATACTTCTTTTATCTTCATTGTTCTAGTCAATTAGTAATGAAATAGGCATTGGATTTATAAAAATCATTTTAGAGTTTCATGTAAAGAAAAATATTTGTCTTAAATTTTACAATAATTTTAAATGTTTCAGTTTCCTGAAGCAACCAGAGGGATGAATTTAACTGGCAATAATTTGTAAGTTTTATTTTTATCTTAAATATAACTGATGTAAAATTGGAGTTTTAACACCTTAATATTTAAAAAGTTACTTAACTTTAAAGAAAAATCACAAATTTCTATCTAGTGGTGAGGGAGAGAGTAGATGATTTATTATAAATCAATGTAGTGTATATATCAGTTCTAGATCCGTGTAGGGCACCGACCCTTGTACTGTTGTACCATGTGTGAAATTAACAATAAGTGACACAAGTCCAGTTCACAGATTCATATTAGTTTATATATATATATATATATATATATATATATATATATATATATATATATATATATATATATATATATATATATATATATATATATATATATATATATATATATATATATGCACACATCAGACTTCCTAACTTTACTCTAACTCAAACTGCTTTCAAACATTCGACTTTCTCTTAAAATGATAGACTGATCAACTTCATTGTCTTTAATCAACTGCCACTTACCAACTCTTAATGCTTGGTCAGCTGCCATCACACGTGGCCAGTGAGTCACATAGTGCTATTGGTTCTGCTTGGCCAATGTTTAGGTGACCTAAGATATTTCTTAGCTTCTACATTTTCTCATTTCTATTTCTAAACTTGCATAACATTGTGTCATCACATAGTGTTTTAATGTATCTTTCTTATTTTTTTTACAGCGAAAGTAAAAAACTTGAAAATTTAGTAAGTTTTATGTTATTTCAAAATAATTTTTTTTTTTTTTAAGTTTGATTATTTTAACTAAATGTTATAAAACAATTAGATATTTTGCTACCTTTATTTTTTTAAAATCAATAAAAAACAACATTAAAATATTCGTATTAGCAGCTGTGTGACAGACAAGTTATTATATACCATACTGATGAAACAATGCAATCTAACAGCTCCTCTGAGAGTAAGTACCATTTGTTTCTGTTATTTGAAGCTGAATTGATTTAAAGAAAAACTATTTTTACAAATTGGCTGGAGTCAGTCACTTTTAGCGTGTTGACCAATTATGCTCATTAAGTAATACTAATGTGGAACAGAACACCTATACTCTAGTGCGGGGGTTCCCAACCCTGTGCCCACGGGCGCCATGGCGCCCACTGAACTATTCATATGTGCCCGCCTCTCACTATTCGACAGAGACAGAATTTTTTTCATAAACATTATTTTAAATATGATTTATTTTTATTCATTTGTAACAGTTTTAATTTTTTTTTTTGACTGGCTAGGTTTATAAAATATGTTTGATACTTGTCCCAACTTGTCTAGCGGCGAGCCAGACTGGACTATTTACGCTAGCCTGGAACGGCTAGTACCATTGGCTCATCACACCTTGTACACGCAGAAAACCCGAATGGAACGAACGCCACGAACTGATCCGATAAACGCAGAAGGCGCCAAATCACAAGGCACATAACTCATGTACATATATGGGAAAATGACAAGTTCTGGAAGGAGTTTGTCGATTTAAAATAGGTGGTGCCCGCCACCCTACCGATATTTTGGAATGTGCTCTAGAGTAAAAAAGGTTGGGAACCCCTGCTCTAGTGGATGTAATACATGAATACCAAATACAAATAAATGATTAGTTTATTTTAATAATTAATTAGAAAACCATACAACTGAAGGAACAAATGCATATCTTGAGCTGCAATTGAAATTAATAAAAGAAAACACTGTTAAGAGGCAAATTTTGATGAGGCTGAGTGGTGAGGATGATACCTATCCAGTTAGTTGCTGATTTGGAACCCATATTATCATTTTAAATGTGTTTTTTTTTAAATTATTTCCTCTTGGCACATAGCTGGTGGGTAATACCACTGCAATCCACCAATCTCACAAATTTCTCCTCTGTTTATCGTTTTTAATTAGAAGAATTTAGAATATTCCTATATTGGCATCTTCACAGTTACAAGTATACACCTTATAACATAACAGGTATAAACAACAAGGCAGTCTACTCTAGTTCATTGACTAAAAATAGCTTGACCTTGATACAGTATTGAGCTAACAGTAGAGTTTAGTTGTAGTGGCAAGCAACATATCCATGCATATAACAATATTTAATAGCAAAGTATTTTAAATTATTTGGATGAATAATAATTGACTAATATTTAAAAGCTTAGAATAAATTCCAAGTAAATAAGTTTATATCACTTTCTGGGGTGATTACTACCTATAATTATTGTTATTATCTCATGACAGATATTCCAGATGATTTTTTCGAAGTAACAAAGTCAGATATTCAAATTCTATACAGAGATTTACAGAATGCTGTGTAAGTTAACATATAAAATAATCGGGAGTGATCTCCCCTAAACTTTCTCGAATATTCTTATATACCACTACGGGGGATAGCAACTCGGGATATACACATGATTTTTAATCCATTTTTTATTTACTTAAACTTTTTAAAATAGAATAGAATCTCTTAGGAAAAAAAAATGCGCACCAAGTGAACGCCAAAACAATCTGTGTATAATAGTGTGGAATATTAGTACTTTATAAATTCACATGAGTTTTTTTGAAAAATCAGAAATAGTGTAAATTACTACTACCAGTCAATGGAGATTATTCAAAATTTGACAGAAAGCAGAGAATTAGATCTTTTATTTATATGTGAAATTTCATTTATCTATCTGAAACAGTACTCAAGTTAAAGGCTTTTGAAAAATTTAAAGTAGAATAAGTGCCACTTCTGGTTACCGGAAATTGCTGAAAAGTTGATATAGAACTACAAATTTGATATAATATTTATATATGAAATTTCATCAACCTAGCTGTAACATACACACACACACACACACGCAGACATATGGACAAGATTGCAAAACTATGTTTTTCCGACTTTTTTTTTTTTTTTGCACGATTACAATACTTTTTCTATACTTCGTATACGAGAAAGTAAAAATATACTATATACAGCCTTATATAAACTGGGTATTATATGTAAGCTAAGGTTACAATTACTATTACTTTCTCCTTTTTATTCAGGTACATAGCATTATTATTGTGAAGTGCTAACTTGCATAACTAATGACTTAGGTAGATGTTTAATAAAAGGGATCTATATAACATAAATTAACAAATACACTAATTTGACTGTATCAGTATCAGCTGTATGTCAAATTTTTAATTGTTGCATTGTTAATTTAGTTTTTTAGATTGTTAGTATTTTGTTTCTTAAATTCTTAAATCTATAAACATTAAGAATATACACAGTGCTTTGGTAAGCTGAACCAAAATAAGCTGTATTTGCTTCTATATTTGCCACCTTCTGTGTGGAACTGAATTTTAAAAAATCTGTTTTCATTTTTATGTATTAACTTACATAGCCAACAACTTGAAGACCAGCCGTTAATGACTAAAGCTATGAAACAGGCCCAAACTGAAGCATTATATGATCAATATGATCATGTTGTGATACGTATTCATTTTCCAGAAAAACTTACCCTACAGGGACTATTTAAACCCAGAGAACCAGGTATTTTCATAATGTAGGCATGCATTTATAACACTAAAATTATTTTTTAAACTACAAATATCTCACATTATTTTAACGTGTAATGTATCATGTTAAGGGTGTAGGCTCCAGAAAAAACCAACTTCTTAATTAATATGTTTTATTTATTTGTGTATATCCAAGTTAGGGTACTTAAAGGAAAATATTTGCGGGCATCAGGGACTAATTTGAAAAAAACAACCTTTTGTGGAGTTCTAAAATTTCACAAACTAACATATTAATTGCCCATATAATCATTCATTCATCTTTTACTAAGGCTAATAGAGTCAGCTGGCTAGTTTTTTTTAAACATAAGACACTAGAAATATTCCTTTTGAATTTTCAAAATTTGGTATGGTGAAAGATCCTTAAAAACTTAACTGTATTTCACCATAATTTTTTTTTTTCTAAAATTTAAAAAAAAAACTTCTAGCGTTTTTTTGCAGGGGTGGCGCTTTGGCAGGGGCATTTGTTTTTACTCTATATACAGTTTATAAAAATAGAAATCAATTGCACACTGTTCATCCGATTGCCATGAAACTCTGGGGAGCTGATGAGAATACTCCCAAGAATGTTTCTTGAGGAAAAATTTCAATTTCGCAGGGGCGACCCCGTCAGGGTGCGATTTGGCGCCCTGGTCTTTCCTGTGAGCGCTGTGGTGCCTGGGTTTGTTCTAAACAGTGCTATAGACTATGGATAAAATGGGGCTTTATAGTCATTCAATAAATTGAATTAAGCGAGTCTGCCGGCGCCCCAGCATGGTGCAATTTTGCACCCCTGGCTATCCCGTGAGCGATATGGCGCTTCTGTCTGTTTTAAACATTTCGAAAGACTATGCATAAGAATGGGTTCAATAAACATAATCAGGTGCGTCCGCTGGCGCCCCTGCAGGGTGTGATTTGATGCCCTGGGCTTTATTGGGCGGTAGTGTAGGTAAACCAGTGCCCCGATAAATATGATCCAAGTGCAGGCATTGTTTGCATTTAAATAACTCTGTTTTAGAAAGCAAGTCTAAGAATATAGGATTGGTAAAGCATTGATGAAACCCTCCTAATATATTTCGTCAGATTTTATTTGTCTTTTATGCATTGCTATACCTTTCATCTGATCGCCATGAAACTTTGGGAAGTTGTTGAGAATACTTCTGGGGAGATTTCTGCAAAAACAAAATTTCAATTTCGCATGGGTGACGTCCTGGCGGTGTGCAATTTGGCGCCCAGGGCTGTTCCGGCATACGTTCGTTTGAAAAGTGTGATAGAATATGGATAAGAAGTAGTATTATAATCCATCACTAAACAGAATCAGGTGCGTCCGACTGCGCTCTGGCATGATGTGATTTGCCCCGGGCTCTCCAGGGACTTTCTTTTAACCCCCCAGCATCGCACAAGGACGTTACGCTAGTTAATTGATATTTGCTATGTAAAGTACTATTTTCCTTAAAAGATATTCTTGAAATATATAATAATGCACCACTTTATAAATAACTATAAAGAAAAGCATTGGTCACTTTATTAGTTATTGAATACCTTTACTAAAATGTAAGAAAATTTTCTTTATAGAATATTTTAAAATAATTTTTTTCTCTTGTATTACTTTTTAAGAACCCATAAAAAGAATGTATTTATAAAACTGCCTATTACAGAGGTAAAAAACAACAACCCTTGTTTAGTTTCAGCTCTGTATGATTTTGTGAGTGATCATCTTCAAGTTAAGGACCTTAATTTTTACCTGTGTAAGTATGATATTTATATATTAGTCTAAAAGTAAACAAATCAACTTTCAAAATAAATAACGAAATGGGTTATCCAGTTTTACATCCACAAAAAACCCACTATTTATATGGTAATTTTTACCCTACCTTCTGTTTCAAAGGCAGTGTACAAACAAAAAAAGTGTCCATTCTGCACAGTATACTCTTTGCAAAATTTGAAAAATAAAGAAATGTATAAATATATGTAAGAAAAAAAGAAAAATACTCATATATCTATAAATATATTAATACATATATATATATATATATAAGTACATATATAAATACATACATATATATATATATATATATATATATATATATATATATATATATATATATATATATATATAGGGCCTATATATATATATATATATATATAGGGCCTATATATATATATATATATATATATATATATATGTATATCGATGGTCTCGGTCGCAAACCGTCTAACTCCGAAAATGTAAATTTTACAGGAGAGACAAAAAACTGATTATTTCCTTCTCGATCGCTCTAATACAAATTTTTTTTAAAGATATCTCCGAAGAAACTCTCCACCGATTATACTGTAGCGTTTTAAAATGGGTTTTGTTGATATTTACAAAATTATAGCATGTTTAAAAAGATAGACGGTTTGCTCGGTCTAAAATTCTCGGTGCAAACCGTCTATCTGTGCGCGCGCAGACTTAGCTGTTTTGAGCCGAGAATTTCGGTCTCAGCCGCGTTCGTTCGTTTTGTCCAATGAACGTGATTTAGTTATATTTATGTTTTTAAGTTATAATTAACACTTCATAATATTTAGATTTTAGTTTTGGGCTCATATTTTAATTATTTGAGTTTATTCTACATTATGGGGTCAGTTTAATTTTTAGTAGAGATGTTTTAGTATGGCTTTATCGCTTTCGACTGTATTCATTATGTCTGTATTTAGCACTAGACTTGTTAACTGTTGAAGGTTATGCTTTATTTATTACATCTTTCTATTCTCACAGTTTATTTTACTAAATCTGGTGGGTGCTGGGTTTATAGAATGATAATAGTAAAAACAGAAACCTTATTGTCAGATATATTATGAATGAGACATAACACATTAATCACATTAATAATGACTTAATGTTTAATTATTTTACAAAAATGTAACACATAAAAATGTGTTTATTTTTAAAATTTATTCTTTGAATAAACGTCACATAAAGAAAAATTAAAATGGCAACATATTTTTAAAATCAGAGAAATCATCATAAAAAGGTGTGTTTTTGACTTGCTTTTAGGTGCTCAAATATGACAGCTTTTATCTTTTTTTTCTGCTCTTGTACAACTTGACAGGGGCTACAGATGAGATCATAAGCTTACGAACCTAGCTTAGCAATTGCCAGCTAGATCTATCTGCTAATTCACTTTGAAGTAGACAGTAGCATCAGGCTTGTACTGAAGTGCACGAATATCTGTCGCTTTGAATTCTTGATAGGTCTGACTGGTCTTTTGAGAGAGGCTGGTCTCTTGTATGGTAAGGCTGGTCTTTTTGAGAGTGGTTGGTGTCTAATGTCTGTTATGTGTGGCTGGTCTATTGTATGTTACGACTGATCTGATGAGAAAGGCTGGTGTCTTGTATGGTAAGACTGGTGTGTTGAGAGAGGCTTGTCTATTGTAAGATAAGACTAATCTTTTGAGAGAGGCTGGTCTCTTGTATGGTAAGAATGGTCTGTTGAGAGAGGCTGGTATCTTGGAGGGTAAGATTGGTCAGTTGAGAGAGATTGGTGTTTTGTATATTACGACTGGTCTGCTGAGAGAGACTGGTCTCTTGTGAGTTACTGGTGCCTTAATGTTACGACTGGTCTGTTTTGAAAGGCTGGTCTGTTGTGAGATGCTGGTGCCTTTACGATTTGTCAGTTGACAGATGCTGGTGTCTTGTATGGTAAGACTGGTCTGTTGAGAGAGACTGATATGTTGAGAGGCTGGTCTGTTGAGAGAGGCTGATATGTTGAGAGAGGCTGGTATGTTAAGAGAAGCTGATCTGTTAAGAGAGGCTGGTATGTCGAGAGGCTGGTCTGTTGAGAGAGGCTGGTCTGTTGAGAGAGGCTGATCTGTTGAGAGAGGCTGGTCTGTTGAGAGAGACTGGTATGTTGAGAAAATTTGGTCTGTTGAGAGAGGCTGGTCTGTTATGTGGTAAGACTGTTGTGTTGAGAGAGGCTGGTATGTTGAGAGAATCTGGTCTGTTGAGAGAGGCTGGTCTGTTGAGAGGTTGGTCTTTTGAGAGAGGCTGATCGGTTGTGAGAGGCTGGTATGTTGAGAGAATCTAGTCTGTTGAGAGAGGCTGATATGTTGAGAGAGGCTTGTCTGTTGAGAGAGGCTGGTCTGTTGAGAGAGGCTGGTCTGTCGAGAGAGGCTGATCTGTTGAGAGAGGCTGGTCTGTTGAGAGAGGCTGGTCTGTTATGTGGTAAGACTGTTGTGTTGAGAGAGGCTGGTATGTTGAGAGAATCTGGTCTGTTGAGAGAGGCTGGTCTGTTAAGAGAGGCTGGTCTGTTAAGAGAGGCTGATCTGTTAAGAGAGGCTGGTCTGTTGAGAGAGGCTGGTATTTTGAGAGAGGCTGATCTGTTTAGAGAGGCTGGTCTGTTTTAGAGAGGCCGGTCTGTTATGTGGTAAGACTGGTGTGTTGAGAGAGGCTGGTATGTCGGGTGAGGCTGGTATGTTGAGAGAGGCTGGTCTGTTAAGAGAGGCTGGTCTGTTGGGAGAGGCTGGTGTGTTGAGATAGGCTTGTCTGTTGAAAAATTAATCATAAAAGCATTTACTAAAGACAACTAACCATGTCGTTGAACATGTAAGCCAAACATTTTGTAACCTACCATATAAACATTTCTTAACACGTATCTAAGCCCTCAATCTAAAGCTAGTAGTGAATTAACAATTATTAAATTTATTGCATATTCTTGTGGAAATATAATTCGAATTATAATGTTTTGATTGATATTTAGATTCTAGAATGAAGATCTAGTTTCAAAGCATTGTGTTAGCCTAAACAATTGTAAACAAATCAGTTTGGTTATTAACAATCTGGAAATAGGCTATATTAAACAAATACTATTTGTTTATTATTCTTTAAAATTATAAAATGTAATAGAATAGCTTAACATAATTAATCAAATAGCCTTACCTATAAGTACTGTGACTGCTGTGCTGTAAAATTGTGTGATTGCGGCGTGCGACTGCGTTCCCGATCAAAAGTGTACTGACAAATATAGCGATATTCGTTTTGCGCCGAGATTTTTAGCGCTAGAAATAATAGGCGGTTTGTTCAAATGATTATATCTCAATAATCATTCTACAGATTTCTCTAATATTTTCAGGCATTATGGGAAATCATATTGGCTTTTGATTTATGTAAAAAAAAGAAAATCGAATTTTTTTGAGTTAGACGGTTTGCGACCGAGACCATCGATATATATATATATGTGTATATATATATATATATATATATATATATATATATATATATATATATATATATATATATATATATATATATATATATATATAGGGCCTATATATACATATATATATAGAGAGAGAGAGTCCTTGCATATGACACTGTTTTTTTTAATACTGTTAATAAAACAAATATGCTTGGTCTTCATAGATATTAATAGCAATAGACCAAAGTCAAAAGTAATAATAAAATTTAATTGTAAGATTTATTTAATATTTAGATCTAGAATCTAGCTCTAAATCTAATAATGTTTTTTTATTTTTCTTGTTTGGATTGTCTATTTTATGTGTGAAGTTAACACGTAGCAACCGTTTCTCTTCCATATTTGTTCACAAAATTCTAATTCTTTACCACTCACACACCACTCCTTCTGCGTGGATGTCATAAATGGATAACCAGGAAGGAATAGGCAGGACTTCGGTTGTGAAATGAGAGAGCCATTTGGATGGAATATGTGTTATGTGTAATAGGGGTGGGTCCTAATGGGTTTGTGTTGCACAGTGCAGCTGACAGTTTTCTGATGGGAAACTCCGTCATCTAGTAATCACAGTGATATTAAAATAGGTCACTATACAGTCTAGACATGAGTCAGGGCTCGTTACTTGAAAAATTAGTAATGTTCCATGAATAATTGATGTGAAATAAAAATATTATTACTGTGAAGTTGCTTTTGTAGAGGATGCCAACGGCGCAATACTGATGGGGTAATGCTCCTCAGGTATCCTGTCTTTTGACCTACTTGTTTTTACTGTCGTCATGGTAATGATGGCTGATGAAATGGACGATACAGTTATTCCGTTTTTTAACAATGTTCCATGGTCATTTCAGAAATATATACTTATAATCATTATTTTTGCATATTATTATTCAACCATACTGATCTAGTTTTAACAATGGACAATTAGTGTTTGATGCAAATTTGCCATTTGTACTTTTTTTTGTCTAATCACTTAGAATATCAAGCAGAACATAATAAAAGTAAGCAAAACATGAATTGCTTTATTTAATATTGTTGTAAACATACTCAAAAATACTGTCAACTATAGAAAATTATTATATATTGCGTCCTACTAAATTAATTTCATTAATTTTTTTAAAATCATGAAGGGTAAAATCAAAATCTTCAAAAAATAAATTGATCAAGACAACAGCTAATTAAGCCTACCGTGTATTTGAATGGGGAGAAATCTAGCAGACAACACAGTTCTGCTGAACTACAGTGAGCGGTCAATGGCGCCACAACAACACTCCTTAAAAACTAATGCACCGTATCAGTCATATTATCATAGCCAGTTAAAACGCGTTTTTTCACAAATTATTTTCTAGGCTACCAATTAAATTTGATAATTAAAATTGGTATCAAATTAAAGGTAAATAAATGCAGTTTTTAATTAAGTTATCTTGAACAAAATTGAAGTTTAAAATTTTAGGCAACACCCTACGCTCAGGTATTAAAAGTTTTTTTAAAGGCCACACTTTTCTGTTGTACTCAACAACCTTTCAAAGTTTTATTATGATCAGATGAATGGTGTAGTAATGCAAACAGGACAGACAGACATACCTTCATTTATATGTATATATATATGGATGTATTATCTGTTTTTTTAGACACATCTCCACCAAAAGAGATAATTAAAGATAAAAACACATCATTGGCTTCTGTAAGTATTTTTATCTGCTATTGTACATATTATTTTGACTATTTAGACTCTACATTAATTTTTTTTTTAAATGGTATAAATATCTTTATATTATTATTATATGTTTAAACACTGTTAACTTTTATGACTATTTGAAGAACTTCGCCTACTGGTATCTATACATGTTATACCCCATTTACTCTTGCTACATGTATACTAGAAAAAAAAACTCACAGCAAGTATACATATTCTGTGGGAAAATTTTTCACATAACTTTAACCTTTAGTAAGTTTTTTTATCACAAGTGTAATCGTGATATTAATATTATGGGTAAATGGAACGGTGACAGGACATATGATCTCACACAAAATATCCCAGACAAAATATCTCACAGACTAATGATCTCAGGATAACTGATCACAAGGACATATGATCTCACGGACAAAATAGATGAGGACAAGCGATAAATTGGACAAATGATCTCAGACAAAATATCTCACAGACAAATATTTATAGTATTTAGGGTTATTTTTAGTCAATTTTAACATTTTTGAACTGAATGTCATATTATGGATTTTATTTCCTTTTTTTACACATAATTATTGTGAGATATACTACATGAATGACTTAAACTTTATAAAATAAACTGGGAGTGATCTCCCCTAAACTTTCACGAATATTCTTATATAACACTACGGGGGATGGCAACTCGGGATATAGACATTATTTTGAATCCATTTTTAATTACTTAAACTTTTTAACTTAATCTTGAGTTTTTTACCACACCGTTTTAAAAAACTACTCTATACTAATAAAAATATTTTTTTTATAATTACTTATTATTCCTTTATTTAAAACTCAAACTTATTTGAATGAAAAATTAATTTTTATGCCTAAAATCAAGGGGAAACTGGGTTGTCTGAAGATGTGTGTGATAAAAGTAGTTCTGAAAGTGTGACATCACACTTATCCATTTTAAAAAATGTATGAAACAAACTTTGGTAGTTTTGCACGTTCTAAAGATTGTTTCAATAGTCTTAGAAATATTAGGTTTAAAAAAAAGTGCCATACTCTTTATTCTAGATCGACTCCTATTTTTATTCTCAATAATAATAGCAGCCCCCCAGCAACGTGCAATTTGGCGCCCCGTGATGTTGAAATTTCAGAAATAATAACAGTGAATTACAACCATTGGCATGCATTGAGATTTGCGACAGTAGACCATCATAATTGGGAAGATTAAAAAATGTGTTTAATATTAGTGCATACATGGGTACAAACTAGAATGATGGTCTACTGTCGCAAATTTCAATGCATGCCTATGGTTGTAATGTATTGTTATTATTTCAACATCAGCTTTGATGATTTATTTATGTGTTATTCTTATTAGGTGCCAATAATACTATCAATTTTTGATAGGACACATTTGACAGATTTTCAATTTCAAGAATATTAAGAAATTAATGTTCATATTCCTTATATTATTTACTTATTTGGTCAAAGAAATTAATGTCTGTGTTCCTTATTGTCACAGGCCTTTCTCCTACCTTTTACATTACATATACAGAATCAAAAGACAAGCCTTCTTTTGCAGTTTTTCATATTTATTTTGTTTTCACACAGGCATGTTCACTCAAGCTACGCCATATTCTTGCCTCCTTTCTCACTTGTTCCTTTCCCACATGCGCACATCCACTGTCTCCCTGATGCAATCTCGCCCCTCTCAACAAAACACACTCCCAAGATACAATCCACCAATATTTCACTGTTATACGCCCTTTCTCCAGTTGAAAAAAAAATAATTTATTAATTTTTTTTGTTATATAGATCACATTCACTATAAAATCTTCATGATACATGTAACAGTGAAATGAAAATCATGTTGAAAAAGAACCTTGCTAATGAACATCCTAAATTATTTTATATGTACACTTTTTAAATTAAAACAATGATATTCATAAAATACATGGCAAAGTGTAAAGTTTCACTTATCTAACAAGTATCGCCATTAAGGAAAATTGTAACTTAGGTAAACCTTCTTAGTTTAGTAAGAACAAATGACTCTAACTAAGGAACATCTCCTCTTAGTGTAACAAAAAAAGAAATCATTAAACCTCACTAAGGAATATTACCTCTTAGTGTATCTCAAAATAAATCTAACTAAGGAAAACTCTCTCTTAGTAGAACAAAATCATAGCTATGCAATAGCTCCTATGGGCAAATCATATCCTTGATTTCCCTACTTCAATGGCTGAGGTACACTCCTCATCATAACATGTAAATTACCACATCTGTCAGGTCATACTGCCCTAATCATGTTCATTACTTAACAAGATATACAAATCATAAAAATACAACAAAATGTATGTTCATTTTCATTACTAAATTAAAATAGTGGTAAAACATATTTATACAAGTCATATTATGACTTATTCCTATCTTGCTCACATTTGTAAAATGTTAATGTTCTCTGGAAGTACACAACACATACTACATTATTCAAAATTTCCTTATAAGAATTGGCTGATATGTCTCAGGTCATTATTTTCTTTAGTCAGTTCCATGTTTGTTTTTCCATCTTCAATATGTCTTGATAAGAAATCAGCTAGTGTGTTGTGCTGTCCCTTTACAGATTAGCTTTCCTTGACATAATTTTCCTAGACAAATCCATTTTCCTTATGAAAGCAATATGTTAAAGTCAAAACTCCAAACACATAGTTAAGCTCTGTTAATTGAATACAACTTGAAACCACAATAGAATCCATCAGCATTACCATATAAAGTGTAAAAGAAATACACAACTGTTATGTTCATAAACATCAGTTAACAAAATACAAGGCTCAATAACAAACTAAACATTTGTTAACAAATTATGATAACAAACTCCATGCTTTAATTTAAATGGTTTTCTAACTTATAAATTTTCCTAAAGTCAATAACATGTAAAATAATGTATGTTAGTAGTCCTCAGTGTTGGTAGCTATACTTTATATCACTGATGCTTAAGTACCACTGCACACAACATATAGAGTAACAGATTTTGTTAGCCAAAAAGGAATGTGTAGAACTAATCAATGAAATAAATTTTTTAAACTGTTGAGGTTGGTGATACACTAAAGTGGTTAAAAATTATATTGTTACATCCACCAAACCAGGTTCTATATGCATGATAACTGATGTTATATATTAAAGCTTGAAAGTAAAATCTTAAAGGAATAGTAAGTTCAGCATATTTATCCACAAAATATTATCAAAATTGCATAGTCCAAACAATGATTTCACTTCTTTCTTTGTACTAGGAGTTTTGATATTTAATATTTTGTCCTTATTTCCTTCAGTAGGTCTAATTTCTTTATTTCCAACCTTAAATCCTAGGAATTCTACTGTATCCACTCCCACATGCAGTTTCTCTGGTGCTATGGTAAACACATGTTTTCTAAGTCTTTCTAATAGTTCTTTTAGTGTTTCTATGTGTTCTGCCCATGTGTTATTATGTATACATATATCATCAACAAAGAAGACCAGGTGTTTCATTCCCTCTGTCATTTTATTCATGAATTTTTGGAATGTGGCGGTACTGTTCACCAGTCCGAATGGCATCACCTTCCATTGACATAGACCCTTGCTTGATGTAAAGGCGGTGTATTGTCTTGACTCCTTTTCCAGTCCTGTTTGCCAGAAGCCTCTGTTCAAATCACAAGTGGTGAAAAGTGAGGATTTACCGATAGTTTCCAAAATGTCTTTAGGATCATTCATGGGTTCAGCATCTATCTTAGTCCTTTTATTCAACTCTCGATAGTCACAACATATTCTTACTTTGTTGTTCTTTTTTCTTACTGATACCATGGGTGATGAGTATGCTGATTCTGTTCTTTCTATTTGCCCAGACTCAAGTGGAAAATCCAGTTCTGCTTCAACAGCTTCTCTATAAGCAACTGGTACTTGGTAATGCTTCCCTTTCATAGCAATATAATCAGTCAATTCTATTTTGTGTTGAATTGTTTCAGTAAAACCCATTTCTGTTGTAATCATATCCTTGTAGTCATTTATTATTTTGTCCATTATGTTTTTCTCATTCACTGGGATATGATAAGTCTTAATTTCTTGTGTATTACAGCTTTCACTTATTATAGTACAGGCCATATGTTCCTCTTCTATCAGTTTCTCTGGCTCTACATATAATTTCTTCATTCTGTCTATGTGTATAGGAGTGTTATTTCCTTTTATGTTTATTTCATAATTTACATCAGATAGTTTCTTGATTACTTCAAAAGGTCCTTGAAATGCTTCTATGTTTTCTTTGTCTGGCAGTTTGACAAAAACTAAATCTCTTCTTTCACAAGTTCTTAAATAGCTATGTTTGTTTTTTATATTTCTGTGCCTTTCACTGGCCAACTGTGCATTCTCTTGGGCTGGCTGGACACCATAAAAAATTATCTCTCTAGTCTGGTTTACTAGTTCATGAGGATAAAATTCCTCTTCCTGTTTTTTTAATAATTCAAGTTCAAAAGGAGAAAAACCTGTTGACTCATGTTTAGTCTCTCTGTTTGCGAATAGTACTTGAGATCAGTGTTCCCTCTAAGCTGCGCGGCTGCGCGGCCGCGCAGCACTTACAAATATGCCGCGCAGACATTTTCTGATGCCGCGCACAGATTATCAGAACGTCGGGCAAGCCTAATTCACTAAACAATTGTGGCCAGTGGCTTGAATGAAGCGACATTTTTAGTACCTGTTTTGTTAAACGAACAGTCTTTGTGTTTTGGTGCAGAAACCAAGGGGTATCATTGACTTGGGGGAGGGGGTGACCTCGGTTGTCATACCACAGATCTAGTTAATGGAAACTCTCAACTGAGCGGGGCGGGTACAGATGGGATGTCTGCGTGACACTCCCTCTGCTTGATTTAATGGTTTACCCCAAAACTGACCTAATACCTGAAAGGGATTGTGGCTACTAGCTGACCATGCAAGGTTTTATTTTCTATAGCCACTGCCCCTCCCCATCTCCCAACCCCCACCCATCACCTTGATACTATGACGGTTTACCCAAGTCAGATGCAAAATCTACTTTACTAAAGGTGCATGTGTTTTTGCTGTTTGGTTTAAGGATTCATATACTATATATCCAATTCTTGGGATTATTACGTGCACCTGGATCGAACTGTTTCAGTGTTCACAGACTGGTTTGGTAAATAGGAATAAAAGTTTACTACTCGTTGCTATTTGAACATTAGAATACACGCCTCGATGCTGTCGGTACAACTGATTCATAACAACATGGGGAAGTATGTTTCTATATCAGACAGTTGGCGAATTAAGAATTACGCCTTTGAGTTTGTTGAACCAATCAACGAGGTGGTTGTAAAGAACACACTGACAGAACTTCGAGTAGCATCGTTCCACACGCTTATAGTTGATGAAAGTACTGACATAATTGTACATAAAATGCTAATCCTTTATCTTAAATTTCGTTCAGTCAATTCTTTATTCTACAAAACCGTTTTTGGTGGAATAATTCAGCTTACCGCATGTGATGCCTCAGCTCTGGAGGCAGCCATAACACAGTACTACACTGAACATCAACTTGAAATGAAACTGCATGGTAATGATAACATCAGACGGGGCATCGGTTATGTTAGGCCGTAGGAAGGGATTAGCTGCTTTATTGAAGGCTAAGGTCCCCCATCTTGTTGAACAGCACTGAGTTCGATCTTCAGTTAAAAAGGGCGCATTTGAAGAATTGGCAAAGGTGCATGATATGGATGTAATTTCTTTTCGACCAATTTATGAAGTTCGATGGTTGTCACGTCACTTTGCTGTCAGTGCTTTTGTTAGAAATATTGATGCTTTAGCTGCTTACTGTGAAGAACAAGTCCAATACTACAATGATCTTGTTTGTTGTTATGTTTTGAAATCATTAAAAGATCCACTGTATCAAATTGCGCTTTATACCGTTAATGAATTAGCTAATCTATCAATGTTGTTACAGCGAAATAATTTATCATCGATTGAAGCACATCAATTTTGCATTTCTAAAATACGCAATTTAGAAGCACAATACCTGAGTGAAGATGTTTATTGGAATGATAAAGCCAAGAAAATTTTGAATGAAAACGTAGGAATCGACACAAGACAAATCACACAGTTTATACGATCGGTCTGCGATCATTTAAATGTAAGGTTTCCAGGAGATGAACTGCAGTTTTCTTCAGCTTTGGATCCTACTGGTTTTAGAAATTGCGCATTTGAGTTTGGCGTCAAAGATATCAAAGAACTGTGCGTAAAGTACAAAGACGTGTTACAAACAACAAATGAAGAGTCAATTATCACACAATAAATGACTTCAAATTTCAGATCAGTGAAAAACTCAAATCAGGTTCAGTAAATGCACTAACTGAAAACGCAGGAGTTGCTTTAAATGATGAACAAATTAGCTCATTGGCAAAGTTAATTGATATATGCTGTACTTTTCAAGTATCCGAGCGAGGTTTTAGTCTTATGAACAGCATTAAAGTACAAGCACGAAATAGACTTGAAGCCACACATTTGGATATATCTAAATGCTGGAGAGGATAATAATATGGATTTAAACAAATCATATAAGGTGTGGAAGCAAGGCAAGGTTAGACGCGAGAAATTGCAATAAATGCCACTGAAAGGTTAGCTAATTTTGTTTTCAAGTCAGCTCTTTAAAATGGTTTACATGTTAAACTGTTGTATTTGTATTACCGTTATGGTATTAACATTTTTAACATACGATTGCATTACACTAACATAGTACGTCGACCATATAACCTGTTGTCTAAGTATAACTCTAAAAGTTTCTGTTGTGTATTTTATTTTATTTAGATGGGATTTGTATCTTCTTTTAATAGCATACGTTTCATTAGTCCTACACATTATACTATTAATTTATCAAAATGCATGCCTTTTCATTACTCTGCTTAATTGCAAGCTTAAACATACATATTAACTTGCCCAAGTCATTTTTAGCACCGCGCACACAACATATTTTTTGCACACACATTCTTGGTCCTTAGAGGGAACATTGCTTGAGATTGGTTACTTTTACTTTTTTCTAACTCTAACTCATGCTGTCTCTGTTTGTCTTTGTCCTCAATTTTAACTTCTGCTAGATCTAGTTCCCTATCAGCCTCCCTTGTAACTTTTTCTTTCTCAGCCTCCATTTTAACTCTGTCCTTCTCAGCCTCCATGTTAAGTTTTTTCACCGCAGCCTTTATTTTAACTATTTCCTGCTCAACCTCCATTTTAATTTTATCCTTCTCAGCCTCCCTTGTAACTTTTTCTTTCTCAGCCTCAATTTTAAGTTCTTTCACCTCAGCCTTTATTTCAACTATTTCTTGCTCAGCCTCCATTTTAATTTTATCCATCTCAGCCTCCCTTTTAACTCTTTTCTTCTCAATCTCCATTATAAATTCAGTGAATTCCCTCTCTAACGCTCTGTCTACCCTTTCCATTTCATCAGCTACCTTCTTTTCTATCCAATTTGCCTTCTCTGCCCCAGTGTATCCTAACGAATCAGCCAACTTAATGTATTTGGCATATAGATCTAACTCGAACTCAATCATAATGATGCAAGAACAGTTATTCAGTTACAATACTAAATCTAGATTTAATTCTTTCTTGTACGGTGTAGAGCACCGACCACTTCTGACACCAAAATGTCACAGGCCTTTCTCCTACCTTTTACATTACATATACAGAATCAAAAGACAAGCCTTCTTTTGCAGTTTTTCATATTTATTTTGTTTTCACACAGGCAGCATGTTCACTCAAGCTACGCCATATTCTTGCCTCCTTTCTCACTTGTTCCTTTCGCGCATGCGCACAGCCACTGTCTCCCTGATGCAATCTCGCCCCTCTCAACAAAACACACTCCCAAGATACAATCCACCAATATTTCACTGTTATACTTATATTATTTAATTATGAGATCAAAAAATTAATGTCTGTGTTCCTTATATTATTTACTTATAAGGTCAAAGAAATTAATGTCTGTGTTCCTTATATTATTTACTTATGAGGTCAAAAGATTAATGTCTGTGTTCCTTATACTATTTACTTAAGAGGTCAAAAAATTAATGTCTGTGTTCCATATAATATTTACTTATGAGGTCAAAAAATTAGTGTCTGTGTTCCTTATATTATTTACTTATGAGGTCAAAGAAATTAATGTCTGTGTTCCTTATATTATTTACTTATGAGGTCTCAGACCACCCAGAATACATTTTTCTCATCAGGCAAAAAGAAGAGAGCTATTAGTCTAAAAGAAATAAAAATCCAAAAGTAACCAGGTTTTCAACCAAATTATTTAAGATAATGAATCGGTTAAGGAATTTAAAATGGTGTTTTGTTGAATAAAATGTATATATTAGGATTGTTGTTTCATAATTTTGTATGTGAAGGTAGTACTAAGTCATCCTCAACCCCTCACAGAAATCAACTTCTTTATGAACACCTGCATGAATGTCACAAATGGATAACCTGATGAAAATAAGATAATTTGGGGCTAAGATGAGGGAGTGGTTAGGGGTGAAGAGGTTTAATAGGTTAGGGTGGGTGTAGTGGGCTATTGCTTTGTATTGTGCATTGCAGCTGATAGACTGCTAGTCAAGGGGAAACTGGGTTTTCTGCAGGTGTGTGTGAATAGTAGTTCTGAAAGTGTGACATCACATTTATGCATTTAAAAAAATTTTTGAAACAAACTTTGGTTGTTTTGCACATTCTAAAGACTGTTTTCAACAGTGTTAAAAATTTGATTAATATAACATACCTAATTGTGCCTCAGCTCATTTAATAATTAAGAAACTGTTGTCATTTCAATGGGGAGGGTTCTCTTTTTGTGCTAACATCTGCTTATTGTAGTATTATATTATAAGCGATCA